TCGCAGGCGGAGGTGGCAGCGGCCAGAGAGGCGGAGAGAGCGGCGGCAGAGGCGGAGGCGACGCGGCATGCCGAGGCGCTGCTGGCGGAGGAGGAGGCGGAGAAGAAGGAGGCGGAGGACCGCGCAAAGAGCAAGAAGGGTAAGAAGAAGAAGAAGAAGAGCGGCGGCGGCGAGGCAGACAACGCGGCGCCTGGCCCCAGCGCCACCGCCGCTCTGTCGCCGCCAACCCCACCGCCAGTCCCATCTCCTCCGCCCGCCGACGCAGCCGCCATCGCTGCGGCGGACAAGGCGCTGCAGCAGGCCGTGGCCGCTGGCTCGTACGAGGGCGTGGCGAGCGCGCTGGAGGCGTGCAGCGGCCTCGCGAGCCCGGCCGTGCTGGCGGCGGCGAGGCGCGCGCGTGACAAGCTCAAGGAGGCGCGGAGGCGGGACAGCCAGCGGTTGCGCAAGGCGCATGGCGCGGCGATGGGCGCGCTCAAGTCGCTCGACACCGCAGACAGCCCCTCCGCGCTCCGAGCGGGCATCGCTGCCGCCAGGCCGCACGTGGGCGCGCTGCCTGCGTTGGCCGAGGAGGTGAGCGCGGCAGAGTCGAAGCTGGGAGAGCTGTCTGTCGCCGCCGAGCCGGCCGCGGCGGAAGAGGCGGTTGTTGCTCGGCCAGTCGAGATAGCATTGTCGGACCTCACCGCGGCTACCGACGGGTTTGCAGAGGGCAAGCTGATTGGCAGCGGCGGCTTCAGCCACGTCTACGAGGCGTCGGCCGACCTCCACCTCTCCCTCGCCGCGCCTCCGCAGCTGCGCCACTTGCCGCTCGTCGTCAAGCGGGCAAAGTCGGGCCAGTCGGGCGGCTTGTCGCGGGCGGAGCTCGAGGTGAAGCTTCTCAAGGCGGTGAGCCACCCGCACCTGCTGCCGCTGCTCGGCTACTGCCTCTCGCCCGACGGCGTCTGCCTCCTCTCGCCGCTGATGCGCGGCGGCTCGCTCGAGGCGCGGCTGCGCCTCTCGGATCCCGACCGCGCTGCGCAGCTCCGGCGGCTGGGCATGGAAGAGCCGCCAAGGCCGCTGACGTGGCGGCAGCGCGTGTGTGTCGCGTGCGAGGCGACCGAGGCGCTCGTCTACCTCCACGCGAAGGGCATCGTGCACCGCGACGTCAAGCCGGACAACATCCTGCTCGACGAGAAGCTGACCGCCGTGCTCGCAGACACGGGCTTCGCCAAGGACCAGCGTCCCGACGCCTCTGTCCGCTGTCGCTCGACCGCCCTCTACATGTCCACGGGCTACCTCTGCCCCTCCATCTCCAAGGGGGGCGAGTACTCGAGCAAGACGGACGGCTACGCCATCGGCATCACCCTCCTCGTCTGTCTCACCAACCGGTCCGAGGTGCAGCTCACCGACCGGTGCGAGGACGAGTTCGAGGAGGATTGGACCGACATCGACGCGGCGAAGCTCGCCGACGTGGCTGCGGGCTGGCCAGTCGACGCGGCGCGCGCGGTAAAGGATCTCGCCAATGCGGACGGGAAGAGCCTCTGCCACGACAGCTTGCGCAAGCGGCCACGCTGCCCGAGGCGCTGCTAGCTCTCCGGGCGCTGCTGTCTGGCGCGCAGGGCGGGGCGGGGGTGGAGGAGGCTGCGCCGGCACCTGGAGACGAGGCCGCTGCGGCAGCCGCCCGCACCACCGGCTACGAGCCTTCGCCGCTCTCGGTGCAGGTGCGCGGCATGCGCACGGGCGGCGACGCGCAGGCGCGCATCCAGGGCAACATGTTGCTCGCCTTCAACACGCTGATGCCGCGCCTCGACGCCGTCTACGCCTCGCGCTCTGCGGCGGCGCCCGACGGCTTCGAGGAGCGCATCAACTTTTGGCACCGCGAGTGCGGCTTGCCGACCGAGCTGCGGAGCCAGCTGCACTCGCTGCGCATCTGGGCGAACGCGGCGAGGCACCACGACGCGGCGAGGTGGAGGAAGGACGGGCCGCGCAGCGAGGGGGAGGCGTCGCGGCTCGTGGCGGCGGTGACGGAGGCGATCGGGGCGATCGAGGGGCGAATGCAGTCGCTGCGCGGGCGGTCTTGAGGCCTCGCGGTCGTCTCTCGTTTGTGTCTCGGACTCTCTCTCTCTCTCTCTCTCTCTCTCTCTCTCTCTCTCTCTCTCTCTCTCTCTCTCTCTCTCTCTCTCTCTCTCTCTCTCTCTGCTTGTTTCTCTCTTTTGGTAGCCAAATTGCCAATTGGCAATTCGCCCGTTTGCGAGTTTGCGAAAAGAATGAGAGACCAAGAACGTGAGATCAGAGATCCCCGCCAGAAAACACGAAACAGGAGCCGCGAGAGGGATGGGGGGGAGAACGGCACAGGCAGGGCCACAAGATGCACACAAACGTAACGAAATGTGCCGGTGCTAGCCGATTGTTCGTGTTCGTTTCTTTCTTCACCTGTGTTAGTGCCAGTGCGCGCCAGTCCCGTGCCCAGTGTTGTGCGACGGAGTTTTGTTGTAAAATTCTTTCTTCACTTCTTTTCCGTGGGCCATATAGCCCGGCTCGCCGGCGCGCCTGACGTGCCCGCCCTGCTCACCGGTCCTGCCCGCGCGGACTGGCCGAGCGAAGCTCCGAGTCACGCAGCCGACTGTGTGCTCTGAGGGGTACGGCAAGCCAAAGTAACGAGCAAGAGGCTGTCCTGGTGCGAGAACTAATCCTGAGCAACAATAAGCGACTATACCACGGAGCACAGAGCGCAGCAGACAGGACGGCGGCGACGGCGGACATGGCAGAGACGAGTGTGAGACAAAGGGCAGCGGGGACGGAGGGCGGTAGCGACGGGGATGGTGAAGGTGACGGTGGCGAGGGAGAGGAAGGGGGTCCATTAACACCAGACAGCGAGAGGGGAAGGGAGGAAAGGGGGAGAGAGGAAGCCAACGGCGATGCCACCGGCAGCAGGGGACACGATGAACAGGTAGACAACGGCCAAGGCGATGGCGAGGACGAGGAGACACGGGACGATGGCAGGCGAGACGAGGAGGACGGAGGCGAGGGAAGAGGCAGCGCCACAGTCGACGGAGGCGACAACGATGGAGAAGGGGAGGGAACGACAACGCGCACAGAGGATGAGGATATAAACTGGGACGACGCAGCGGAGGGGATAGACGAGGGAATCGAGGGACCGGAGGGCTTTCGCGACAGCGACGATGACGACGAAGGCAGGGGAGGAGACGGAGGGGCGACACGCAGGAGGAGCGAAATCGCGAACGGCCCGAGCAGAGAGGGCGACGGCGGAGAGGGGGCAACGGAAACGCTACCAATGACGCGAACCGAGTCACGGGCGACGGCGGGGACGGGGAGGGCGACAGCGACGTCGAGGTTGACGCAACGGTATCGAGAGCGCCACCCAAAAGGAGGCGGACAGCCATGGAGGTCACCGAATGGAGGGGGGGCGAGCGGCACGATACGAAAAGGCAGGGCGAGGCGGATGGAGAAAGAAGTGCCGAGGAGGCCATGGTGGATGGGAGGGACGGGAGGACGAAAGAAGGGCGAGGAGGACGAGCGGCCCGCACAGGCCGCGAGCAGACAGCGCCTGCTGGCCATTTCGAGACATTCGCAAAGAACGCTGGCTACATGGGAGGGCTTCGTGAAGGGTGGATTGAAAAACATTCGAACAAAGAAGAGGCGACGGGAGGAACCGGCAGAGGATGCAGTGACGTGACACACACACACACACACACACACACACACACACACACACACACACACACACACACACACACACACACACACACACACACACCAAGCCCACGCATACACGGAAGCTCCCCGCCGCGGAAGATTCCTAGCCTCCAACAACGCCTCCCTGGCGCAGAGAGGGGCCCCCGGAGGGATGCTCAACCGCTCCACGCCACGCCACTTGCGGGTCCTATTCCCAGCTCCGCTGAGGGCGCACACGTTATTGCGTCCGTCCCCGGACCCCGCACTGTACAGAAGAGATGCCAGATGGGAAGAGATGTCCACCACGTGGCAAACTGTGGCAAACGACCGAGATGATGTGCATCCGAAGAAATTAGCAGTTTTTTTACGGTTCACGGTTCAAAAAATCCGCGTGACAAATCGGGTCATTTCGCGACCACGCCTTGGCCAGAGGGCTACGCTCTACGCATAGATGTAGAAAAGATTTCTTAAAGATACACGAGGTGAGGACAGCGCGCAGACCTCCCTCGGGACAGCGACAGCGCGCCCCGCTGAGAGCGGGTGTGTAGTGTGTCTCTTCCGCGGTCCATGCAAAGAGCGCGGCAGCGCGCTCACGCGTCTCGACTCGGCCTCCGCACTGCGGCCGCGAGCCAGAGCAGCTGGCTCTTCCTCGCCTCCAGCGACGCAGCAGACACCGTCCTTCTCCGGCCCGGCCTCCCGGTGGCGGCGGTCGCATCTTCAGCGTGACTGCCCATCGCCACCACCACAGCCGCAGCCCCGCCCGCGTCCACCACCGCCTGCTTACCCGCATCGCTGCCGAGAGCCATGTACCCCAGCGCGCCGCAGCCCGCCCGCTGCACCTCCACATCATCAGCGTGACTGCCCATCGCCACCACCATAGCCGCAGCCCCGCCCGCGTCCACCACCGCCTGCTCGAATGCGTCTTTGCCCGAAGCTATGCTACCCAAAGCGCCGCAGCCCGCCCGAACGGACGGGGAGGTGGGAGGGGGGGCGGGGCGCGGGGGTGCAAAATCCTGCAAAGGTGGGGACGTGTCTGTCACACACACACACACACACACACACACACACACACACACACACACACACACACACACGACACACACACACACACACACACACACACACACACACACACACACACGCGCGCACTTTGAATGCCGTGCAGCGCCCCTTGGAGTGTGAAGGCTTCGTAGCCCTCCGGTCCGCAGGATTGGAGCGAAAAAAAGCAAGCGAGTGAATGCCGTGGCGCGTGGGGCTGGGCTCCTGTCGTCCGCAGACGTGGAGACGCGAGGGTTGCCCCCCCCCCTTGCCGCCCCACCACCTCGTGTCGGTGTGTGTGGAGAAGCCGAGCGCGTCGTGTGACTCCCCGCGTGTCTCTCGCCGACTCGCCCATCCCTCCGCCCTTTTGCCCCTTGCGCCGCCTGTCCCCCCCCCCCCCCCCATGAAATTAAAAGGTACGCCGAGCGTATACCACCTTGTATCAGGAATCAGGTGCTAGGAGGGACCAGCTCGTACGTCGCCGGCCGGTGCCACGCGCTCCCGCCGGTGCCGCGCGCTCCTGCTCGTCACGTCGCGCGCGCCGCCTTCTTCTTGGCGGCGGCGTCGGCACGCCGCCGAGCCTCGTCGCGCCTCTTCTTGCGCAGCATCGCGCGCGCCTGCGCCCGCTCCTCGTCCGCCGCGTGCCTCGCGGCGATCTCTTTGAGGACGCGCGCCTACAAGAAGAGAGAAACCGCGTCGCGGGCCGGCGCCCACCTCTGGGGTGTTTCAAGCACAAATCTCGGCGAGTTCCCAGCCACCGCGACGAGGACGCGTGCTCACACGCGCCGGCCACTCTCGGTCAATCTCGGCGAATCTCGGAACATCTCGGCGAGCGGCCTCGTACGCGTCGAACTCGCAGCCGAGCGGGTAGATGGACTGCTTGGCGCGGTCGCAGTACCAGAGGGCGCAGTTGGTCGTCTGCAGCAGCCGCCTATAGCGACGGGAGCCCCACACTCCGGACTAAGCAGAACGGCGGCGGGACCGAGGGTCGTCCGCAGCGGCCGCCGGTCGTGCGAGATGACCACGACGCCGCCCTCAAAGCCGTTGATCCCGTCGACCAGCGCGTCGACCGACTCGATGTCGAGGTGGTTGGTCGGCTCGTCGAGCAGGAGCACGTGCGGCCGCACCTAGCATTGTCCTCCTGGCTCACCACCCTCCATTCTGATCCGTAGCAGCCGCTGCGGCGCGTGCGGCCGCACCGTCGAGATTGCTGCGAAGGCGACGCGCGCCTTTTGGCCGCCCGACAGGTCCTTGATCTTGAGGTCGTGGGCCGAGGAGGGCAGCCCCTTCTCGCCGAGCTCCTGCCGCACTTGCTGGTAGAGGGGCGAGCCTCGCTCCGGCCTCTCCCCGAGCAGCGAGAAGAGGTGCTCGACCGGCGAGACGCCGCCCGGCAGCTGGTTGACCCAGTGCTGCGAGTAGCGGCCGATGCGCAGTCGCCCGTTTGCCTGCTCGACGACGCCCTCGTCGGGCGTGAGGGAGCCCTCCAGCAGCTGGAGAAAGGTGGACTTGCCGCAGCCGTTTGGCCCCACCAGCGCGACGCGCGAGTCCATTGAGAGGTCGAAGCCGAGCCCGCGGAAGAGGAGGCGCGGGCCGTACCCAAACGTCACGGCTTCCATCGTGATGAGCGGCGGGTTGAGCTTCCTCGCCGCAGCCTCGATCGCAAACTTGACCGCATACTCTCGCGTCGAGGCCGGCGCGGTCGCCTTGATCCGGAGGCAGACCAATTTTGGTTTGGGGGGAGAAGGGGGGGAGGGAGGGGAGGGAGGGGTGGGAGGAGAGGGAGCGAGAGGGGAGGGAGGGAGGAGAGGGAGCACCACATCTAGACTTCACAACCTTGATCTCCTCGAGCCGCTCCTTGGCCACGCGGCGGCCCGACTTTGTCGCCCCCGCGCCGCCACCCTTGGACAGCTCGCGTTGCAGCCGGCTGGCCTCCTTTTGCGCCGCCTCGGCCTTCTTGCGTCGCTGCGCGACGAAGGAGGCGTGCTTCTTCTTGAAGCCGTCGTAGTCGGTGTCGTCGAACGCGTGAAGCTCTCTGCTGTCGAGCAGCAGGATGTCGGTGGCGACGCAGTTGAGGAAGTGCTGGTCGTGCGAGACGATGAGGCACGTCAGCTTCGACTCGGCCAGGTGCAGCTGTAGGACGCGGGCTAGGGTCTATAGTCGACTTATCGTGAGAGCAGCGAGCTACGCTCGTAGGGCTTGAGGAAGAGCGCTTTGGCCAGGGCTAGCCGCATCCTCCACCCGCCCGAGAGGGCCTCGGTGGGCCCGTCCTGCTGCGCGGCGCTGAAGCCGAGGCCGGAGAGGATCGCCCGCGCCTGCGCCTCCGCCGAGTCCCGCCCGAGCGCCTCGAGCGCATCGTACACCTCGAGCAGCCGCATTGCTGCCGCGTCGGCCGCCTCGTCGCCCTCCGCCGCCTCGAGGTCGGCCTCGAGCCGCGCCTCCTCGGCCGCCAGCGCGTGCCGCTCCTCGTGCGACGCGAGGATCACCTCCACCGCCGACGCCGACGACGCGCGCGCCTCCTGCGCCACGAGCAGGATCGAGAGGCCGGCCGGGATGTTTGCGAGCGCGCGGTTGGCGATGTGCGCGAGGAGGGTGGACTTGCCCCTGCCGTTCGGGCCGAGGAAGCCGTACTTGCGCCCCTTCTTGAGCGAGAGCCGCGCGTTGGTGAAGAGCTCGACGCTCCCCGCGCGGATCGAGAAGGACGGGATCTCGAGGCCGTCGCCGAGCGACGACGCGCTCTGCACCACGCGGCTGCCTCCGTCGGAGGTCGCCACAAACTGCGCGCCGATCGCGCCGCCGCTCGAGCCCTCGTCGCCATCCGCACTGGGCGCGGCGACGGCGGCGTACTCCTTCCACCGCTCCTCGGCCGCCTCGAGCTTCTTGAGCTGGCGCTTGTCCTTGCCGCTCAGCTTGCCGCCCTCCTTCGCCTTGAGCCGGAGCGTTGCGAGCTCGGCCTGAAGCGCGGCGAGCTTCGAGGCGTCCTCGTCCTCGTCCTCGCTCATGGGAGCGAACTTCGAGCGAGCCTCCCGCGTTCCGGCGCGAAGCCACGAAGTGTTGTGCGCCGAGGGGTTGGCGCGCCAGGGTGGGGGGCCGGGTTTCTACCCACGAGGCCGCGAGATAGGATTTTCGCGTCAGTGGCGGCCAACACAGAAACAGCGTGCTACTGTGTTGGGTGCTGGAGGCGCCCCTGATGCCACTGGACTCAATCCGAGCCGGCGGCGCCTTCGTCCGGGCCCACGCGCCACGGCCGGCACGCCGTCAAATTTTCTCGCCGATCCCGCGCGCTCGGCCGCCACCGCGGCGCCTCCGAGAGCGCCGTTTCGACACGCTGCAGCGGCGGGCCGCGGCACCTCGACACACCGCCTCTCGCGCCGCCTCGAGGTGCTCCGATCGTGCATCGGACGATGTCACCGCCGTCACCATTACCGTCGCCACCACTCCAGAGCAGTACGCCAGCGTCTACAACACCGCAACCGCAACTTTCTCGGACGCAGAGCAAGCCACGACGATTCTGGGCGTGCCAGTGTTCCCTGGCGCGACCTTCTCCAGCTCTAGCGGCGCTCAGAAGGACCCCCACCTCGCGTTTGCTCACGGCGGCAGAGCAGACTTCAAGGGGCTCGACGGCCGCTATTACAACTTCTTCTCCGCTCCTGGGTTCTCCGTCAACGTAAAGACGGAGGCGCGCCGGGAGAAGCGCCAGGAGAAGGAGGGAGAGCTCGCGCTTAAGACCCCCGACGCCCCTCTGCCGCTTCGCAGGCTGCCACCTTCAAGCTTCACGGCTCCAAGCTCGTCGTCGACGGCTCCTTCATCACCGAGGTACACATCGTCGCCCGGAAACTCTCCCCGCCCGCCTTGGCCAACGCCTCCTTCTTTGCCTGCGAGCTGAACGAGTTCAACACGGGCTGGAAGTTCATCAACGGAACGTGCTCAAGCCGATCGATCACGCTCGGCCTCTCCAGTCGCCCCTTGACGTGCGGCCACCTCCGCATCGAGACCAAGTTCTCCAGCGCTAGCTTCAAGTTCCGTGACGACTGGAGCGTGGTCGTCCGGGGCAACCACGTCTACGACCGCGTGAAAGGGCCGACGCACCGCCTCGACCTGACGCTCAAGGAGCTCAGCGGTAGCGCCGCCGCGCGTGCCCTTCCGCATGGCTTGGTCGGCCAGTCCTTCGCATCGAGCAAGCCACGAGAGGGCAAGGTTGACCACTACCCGCGCGCGGGACGGTATGCCACCAGCGCTATGGCCGAGGGCGCGATTGAGGGAGTTGCGAGCATGTACGAGATGCCGTCGCCCTTCGAAACCCGATTCGCCTTCTCGCGCTTCGACGCCGCCGAGGTCCCCGTTCCCTCTCGGTGGCCACTCGCCTCGTATGCCTCGCAAGCGGTGCCGGGAAGCGAAAGAGTGGCAACGTCCACGGAGCGCGCCGAAGGTGATTGATATGGTGATGCGCACCTCCGCATAAGGTAAGGTAAGGTAAGGTAAGGTAAACGTCTCCACACACACAAAGTGGTGGGGCAAGGGGGGGCGACCCTCGCATCTCCACGCCCGGACACGGGCAGGCGAGAGCCCCACGGCATTCAAAGTGCAAGCACCGGCCCGGTGCCGTGGGTGAGCAACCTGCACCCCACTCCCTCCCTCCCAGATATAAAGTACAACATAAAGCGTGTGTCTGCAGTCCCCAGTCCACGGCCGGGGGGAGAAACGACACAACGAGATCCAAATCTCGATCGAGGATATGCATAGCGTGTATACGTCAATAGAGAGTACGGTGTTGTACAATACGACGTACGGCGTAGAGTTTACACGCTCCCTTTTCTGATTTCTCTAACCAAGACGAGTAATAAACCCAGCGGCCGCGGGGCCTGAAGCGGGCGTGAGCCGTGACCGCCGTGCTAGCTTGTAGCTACGTACTCAGCGGTCTCTCCTCTGCGTGCGGAGAAGCTCTTCCTCTTTGCGCGCTCTTAAGCCGGCGCGGTGAGCACGTTAGGGCAAACGCCGTCGAGCTCCTCGATGGACCGGAGGGAGAGGGTGCCGTCGGTGGCGACGCTGAAGCTGGCCACGTTCTGGCTGTCCTGGTGAGGCAAGGCAGGGTAAGGTCAACGCCTCCGCACACACAAGGCCTCCTCGTCCACAGACAGGAGCCCGGCGGCGTTGGACGAGCGGCATCGGACGAGCAAGGCCCAGCCCGCGCGGGTGAGGTGTATGTGTGTGTGTGTGCTGGCGGTCCTGGTTCCCCAAACGCGGAGAGGAGGGGAGGCGGGCGGGGCGCCAGGAGACACGAGCACTCTCGGGTCATCTCGATCTCGGGTGATCTCGATCTCGGGCGATCTCGGGCGATCTCGCTCCACCTGGTTGCCCACGAGGAGGAGCGGGCCGCCGGGCGACGCGTAGTCGAGCACAAAACTGCGCGGGCAGACGCCGCCGCACGGCACGCGCTGCTTGAAAGCGAGCTCGCCTGACGAGATTGCCCGAGATTGCCCGAGATCGCCCGAGGTTGCCCGAGGTTGCCCGAAGTTGCCCGAGGTTGCCCGAGGTTGTCCGAGGTTGTCCGAGATTCGCCGAGGTGGGCTGCTTGCGGGCGAGGCTCGCCCGTGGCGGTGTCGATGTCGAAGGCGACGACGGCGCCGTCGGTGCGCGTCGTTGCGTACAGGCACCGCCTGGGCAAGTTCGGGGGGGGGCATTCAGGAAGGTTCTAGTTCTACAAGGTAGCATGTGCTCATCTCGGCTACCTCTCGGCTACGTCTCGGCTGCCTCTCGGCTCCCTCTCGGCTCCCTCTCGGCCGCCTCTCGGCTGACTCTCGGCTGCCTCTCGGCTACCTCTCGCCCGTCCGCAGAAACGAGCACATGTGACCCGCCGGAGTGGTGGGCGCGGCACGGCGAGACGCCTAGAACCTTCCTAGAACCTTCCTAGAGCCTTCTTAGAGCCTTCCTCGGAGTGGTGGGCACGGCCACGGCGAAACGCCGTCGGGGAGGGTGTAGTAAGAGCCTGTTCACAGCGACACCGCCGTGAAGAGACGCCGTCCAGCCGCTCACGCGACGGGATGGGCGCGGGGCGACGAGCCGAACGGAGTCAGCCGTCCTTGCTCTGCGTCCCAGCGGCAGCCGACGATGTTGCCTAGGACGGAATCAGGACGGAATCAGGACGGAATCACCTCGGCTCCTCTCGGCTCCCCTCCGCTCCTCTCGGCTCCTCTTGCCTCCTCTCGGCTCCCCTCGCCTCCTCTCGCCTCCCCTCGCCTCCCCTCGGCTCCTCTTGCCTCCTCTCGGCTCCCCTCGGCTCCCCTCGGCTCATCTTGCCTCCTCTCGGCTCCTCGCGGCTCCTCTCCTCTCCGCTCCCCTCCGCTCCTCTCCGCTCCTCTCGGCTCATCTCGGCTCCTCTCCGCTCCTCTCGCCTCCTCTCGCCTCCTCTCGCCTCCTCTCGCCTCATCTCGGCTCATCTCGCCTCATCTCCGCTCCTCTCCGCTCCCCTCGGCTCATCTTGCCTCATCTCGGTTCCTCTCCGCTCCCCTCGGCTCCCCTCGGCTCATCTCTGCTCCTCTCCGCTCCCCTCCGCTCCTCTCCGCTCCCCTCGCCTCCTCTCGCCTCCTCTCGGCTCCTCTCGGCTCCTCTCGCCTCCTCTCGGCTCCTCTCGGCTCCTCTCGGCTCCTCTCGGCTCCTCTCGGCTCCTCTCGGCTCCTCTCGGCTCCTCTCGGCTCCTCTCGGCTCCTCTCGGCTCCTCTCGGCTCCTCTCGGCTCCTCTCGCCTCCTCTCGCCTCCTCTCGGCTCCTCTCGGCTCCTCTCGGCTCCTCTCGGCTCCTCTCGCCTCCTCTCGGCTCCTCTCGGCTCCTCTCGGCTCCTCTCGGCTCCTCTCGGCTCCCCTCGGCTCCCCTCGGCTCCTCTCGCCTCCTCTCGGCTCCTCTCGGCTCATCTCGCCTCATCTCGGCTCCCCTCGGCTCCTCTCGCCTCCTCTCGCCTCCTCTCGGCTCCTCTCGGCTCCCCTCGGCTCCTCTCGCCTCATCTCGCCTCATCTCGGCTCCTCTCGGCTCATCTTGCCGTCGAGCTCGCAGAGGACGTAGACCCAGGGCTTGGCCGGGTGGAAGTCGAGGTGGCGAGGGCCACTCGCCTTGCGGACGTGTCGCGGACGTGTCTCCTTCTCTCCTCTTCTCTCCTCTTCTCTCCTCTCCTCTCCGCTCTCCCTTCCCTTCTCTCGGCCCACCTCGGGCAGCAGCAAGTGCCGCTCGCTGTTGGCCGCGCCGGCGAGCGAGCCGCGGGCCACGTCGAACGCGTACACCCACACCCTCGACGCGCCTGCACTCATCAGTGATGGCCCATGCGGAGTGATGGTCCGCGGAGGTGTCGCAGTCACACGCCCTCGACGCGCCCAGGTCGCAGGCGAGCGCCCACGCGCCGCTGCCCGGGTCGAGCCGCACCTGCGGGGGTTGTGGCAAGTCTCTAGTACCGTACGATGGTGAGGACGCACCTGCGGGGGTTGTGGCAAGCTTCACCCATACCTTACCCCTTCTGCCCCCCCCCTCCTCCGACCCCCCAGGCTAGATGGAGTAGTCAGATGTAGATTCTGCCCCACACAGCCCCTTACCCCTTCACCCTCCACCCTCGCTGCTTGGTGTTTCTGAACACGCCTCTCGCCGCATGATCAGCCCTGCCCGTGTGCAGTGACCTCGCCAACGGCACCTGGTGAGGGTGGCAAGCTTCTTGCCGGTCAGCGAGCTGCGGGTTCAGCCTGACGACGTGGTGCTTCGAGTCGGTGGCCGCCTACAGGAAGGGTCCAGGAACGGTCTACGAAAGGTCTAGGAAAAGCCTCGTGGTGCTTCGAGTCGGTGGCTGCCCCGACGCTGCCGTCGGCGGCGATCGGCAGCACCGACAGCGTCGACGCGCTGTAGTTGGCACAGAGCGCCCACGCCCCGTCGGCAGATAAGCAAAAGTGCGCCGGGTTGCCGAGGGCGTCGGCGCTGCTAAACTCCTCGAGCATGCCATCAGCGGCTACCTTGTACGCGCGGAGCTTGCCGCTGCCCGCGGCGTACACGCAGCCATTGCTGGGATGCTTTTCCATCCAGCCGACATGGTGTTTCAGCTCCGAGAAGCCCACCCTCTCGCCCGCCCGGTAGACCATGACGCCCTTCTTCTCCACGGCGGGCGGCGGCAGCTTGCCGTACGCCGGGGAGTCCGACACCTTGACCTGGGCTGCGGGCGATGAGCCGACGTAGCTGTACATCTTCGTTCCTGCCGACGATGTGTCCGGCGCAACCGCGCTGAATGGCTCGAGGCGCCCTGAACACACTCCGAACCGCAAGTAGAATTAAGAATTCCCTGCCGAGAAAAGAATTAAAGAAGCGGTTCTTCCGAAGCGCCTGAGCTCCTCCCGAGGCTGAGCTCATCCCTGCATCGTAATGTCCGGTTGTGTTCGTGTCGTACGCGCTTTCTCTTCCGAACACGCGCCCCCCCCCCCCCCCCGCGGCAGCGGCGGCAAGCAACTCCAGCAAGGGCAGCGACATATTCCGAAACGTTTCGACGGTGATCTAAATCATCGTGTGAACAGGAGCCCCACTCTCAAATTTTCTCTTCGCCTGCGGCGCGCCGCACTTGTCATTTTGCCCAAGTCTGCGGTGTTCTGGGCGGTGTGGATGGAGGTGTGTGCGTCTTCCTGTCATCCCAAGTGGTCTGCCATCCCAGGGTGCGCGTTCGCAGGGCCATAACACGGGTCTCCGAGGGTTGGCCCTGCGCTTTGGGTTTCCCCTAGCTGCGGGACGCCCCCTCTACTCGGAGCTAGTAGTACGATAATACCCTCCGAGGGTTGGACCCGCGTACCAGGTTTCCCCTTAACTGCTAGTGATACGAGAATACGCACCGCCCCGGCGCAATACCATACTACGCCGACGGGAGTGCCCTCGCCAATGCCCAAAAAGCGGCGCAGAGTGAGGCGGCGCCCAGAGCAAGCACGTGAGCCCCGGCGCTCTGGATGGGGCGTGACCTCCTGCCTCCAACCTCCTTCCTTTTTTGAGCAGGTGTGACGCCGCGCGAGCGACGCTCCGAGATCGCCCGAGACAGCGCGGCGCGGCGGTGGGTGAGGTGGGGTGGGGTGGAGGTGGCGTGGCGTGGAGCTCCGAGATTGCGCGAGATTGCGCGAGATCGCCCGAGGTCACGCGGCGCGGCCCGAGATCGCCCGAGATCGCGCGGCCCGAGATCGCGCGGCGCGGCCCGAGGCGAGGTGGTTGGGTTGGGAGCGAGGGGGCGGAAGTGTTCAGTGCGGTAGATGGTGAGCTCGGGGCGCGTGAGCCGGACTTGTGGGCCGGACCACCCCCGTTCTTATCCTGCGTTGTTGAGCCAGGACTCAACATACCCGGGCTTTCAATCCCGCACTGTCACTTCCCTTTCTCCCGGCCGGGGTAGGGGCGGGCGGGGCGCGCGCGGGTGGCGACGGGTGTGCGGGATGGCTGTGGGCCCGAGAGTGATATGCCATGTCCGCCTTGCTTTGTTTCCTAACATCGAAGGCTAAGCTCAAAGAAATTAGTGCGCATGGCGGTGCCGTCGTGGAGGGAGGTGGCGACGGCGGCGGCGCGCTGACGGAGCTCGGGGATGGTGTAGGGCTGCGCGCCAAACGGCCTGAAGAAGGTGTAGGCGGTGCAGAGCTGGAGGGCGAGATAGGCGAGGACGTGGCGTCGTCGAGAACGCGGTCGCCGGTGAGATTGGTGAGAAACACCAGCGTCGTCCCACCAACGCCGTCCACCCCGCTGAGGGAGGCGCCCAGGGACCCGGGTGCGGCGCGGGCGCGCGTGCTCTCGCGGACGCAGGCGTCCGCGTTCACCCACGTTTTGAACTGGGTTTGCAGCTCGCGGTGCGGGCCGTCCTGCTTCTTGGACTGGATGTGGCCCAAGTAGGTGACCAGCCGTTCTGCGAGGTGGCGTTTGGGATGACGCACCAGACGTTGTCGCTGCTGGAGTTGCAGGCTTTGCAGCGGGTGAAGGCGAGGGAGGCGAGCTCGGCATCGGTGACGGAAGGGTGCTGGCGGGCAAGGTGCTTGGCGAGGTCCGTGCGGTTCTTGTTCCGTAACTGACCAAACAAATATTGCTTACAGCTGTATTGGGTGGACGCACCTCGCACACATGGCTGCGCAGATTCCTCGCGCTCTGGGCCGACTTCATGCGGACTGCCGGCTCCGCCAAGCCACCGCCCTCGCCGCGCGTGCCCTCGCAGTCCCCCTCGCCCTCCGTCGCCGCCGCCGACGGCCCCGTACCGCTGCCCCTCGTCTCCGATCTCTTCGCCACCGTCGAGGCCGAACCGTGCGAGGGCGAGGAGTGGGCCGCCACCGCCACGTGGGAGCCGGAGTTCGAGGACGACCCCGACAGCGTCTTCTCCACCTTCTCCACCTTCACCCGCTCCGCCGCGCTGCGCAAGTCGACCTATCTCGCGGAGAGACCGCCGAGATACAGCCGAGATACAGCCGAGATACGGCCGAGGTCAGCCCCGAGGTCAGCTCCGAGGTCAGCCCCGAGGTCAGCCGAGGGTGAGGGGCGTGAGGGTCGACGCCTCATCCGTCAGATCCTCTGGCAGAGCTACCAGCTGGAGAGGGGGCAGTGACCGCGAGCCTCGAGCACGACGCGGCGGCGGCGAGCGCGGCGGCGAGTAGCAGCAGCTGTGGCGGCGGCAGCTGTGGCGGCGGCGGTGGTGGCGGCGGTAGCGGCGGCGGCGGCACGACGCAATCGGCGCGCTCGACGGCGACGATGGCTGGCCGGGCTGGCGCTGGCCCTCTGCCCCCACTGCCGCTCCCCCGGCAGCACACGCACTCGGTACGGGCCCAGCTCGTCGCGAGGCGGCCGCCGCTCCAGGCGCAGCACCGATGACAACCAGGGAGCAGGCCACGGCGGGCAAGGCGTGCGGACGACTCACGCATGCTAGCAGCACGCATGCCGCCGCCACGACCGCCACGCCGCCGCCGGTGCCCACCAGCTAGCGCCATGGAAAGGTGTAACTGCTGACTCTCGAGTGAGTCTCCCAGCGGACTCATCAGGGTGTTTGGCAGTCCCGATACGTATTGGGATTTTTCGCGAGGCGTGCCCGCTCAAGTTATACTCTAATTCTATCCACATGTATATTTCACGGTACTTGTGTGTGGAGACTACAAAAGTAAACACGTACGATGTGTGCGGGGGGCGGACGTACTTGGGCAAGGATTAGCGTGACGGGCCGCACGCCATCCCCTCCACCAGCAGCGGTACGAACGTACAATACCCTCACCCGGCGGCCCCAGTCGCTTGCTCATGGCTCATGCGTGGGCCCGCTCCCCGCCCCGCGCGGCGCGATCAAACCTCACCAGAGACCGACTCGCGGCTCCGTGGCGTCGCCTTAACCGGCAACGAGCCGCCGCGCGGAGTTGCCGCCTCCGCCTCCATCCGAGGCCCCTCCGCTTTGGGGAGGCGGAGTTCGAAGGCCGGTGGTGCCGGTAACGAATTCACCGCATCCGCGTCTTCGCTAGACGGGGTAAGTCCGGCGGTGCCTTCTTCGTGTCCGATTCGACGGTCGCAGGGGCGTGTTCGTCGATTGTGTCCTAGGGAACAACATGGGGTGTTGGAGGGGGAGGGGAGGGGCTGGAGGGGCAGGAAGGTACCCCCTCACCTCTGCAGCCGCCTTCCTTTTCCGAAGCGTCTCGATCTCCTTGCGCAGCCCCTCGACGACGCTACGGGCCTCGGCGCTGATCTTCTCGTCGTCTCGAAGCAGCAGCTTCTCCTGCAGCTGTTGAATGCTGTTGTCTTCGGACCACAGCTTTCCACGCTCGTCGACGTAGCGAACGTCCGACGGGTTAAGGTCGCGGTCGCGGTCGCGGTCTTGGGGCGGCACACCGTCGGCTGCGTCGTCGAAGGTCTTGTACCGCGATTCGAAAGTGCAGTCGAGTATCTCACGACAGATCCTTCCCAGCAGGACAGCCAACCAGGCGAGACAGCTGCATGCGTCGCGGCTGGCGTTGGCAGCCGCTTTGAAGCTGCACAGCAGGAGAGCGCAGGCCTCCTTCAGCCGCTCGCGCAGCTCTGCCGGCGACAGGAGACGGAGCACTGTCGCCCCGCACACCGCTGGGAGACGGAGCAGGTTGAAGGGCGGCGGCGGCCACGCGTCGTCGTCAAAAAAGTAGCCCAGAGCAAGCTGCGCCTTGACAAAGCTGTTTTCGTTCTCGGCGTCGTCCCACACGACGTCGAATGTCTTGGCCATGATTGCGATGAGCATGTTGAGCAGCAGCACCACCGACAGCACCACGTAGACGCTCATGATGAAGGGCGCGGCGACGCGGAAGTCGTACACCGTGCCAGCCTCGAGCGTCTCGGCGACCGCGCCCGCACACTCGATGCTTGAGCCCGGGTCGAGCGAGATCAGCAGCAGTCGGTACAGCGCGACGGGCAGCGACTGCGATAGGTCCTCCAGGGGCCCGCACTCCTCGCCCCCGTCCAGCGCTGTGCTACGGAAGAGGGTGTACAGCGCAGCGGCAAAGGCGGCGGCGCAGCCAGCCATAAGGACTAGAAACTGGACCGTGTCCTTTATCATCTTTCGCAGCATCACGACCTGCGGCCCCATGCCCAAGACGCTAAAGACGCGCAGGAACCACGAGGTCCACATGAGGAGCAGCCCGAACGCAAGGGTCTGGTGGCCCCACGGGAGGGGGGGCATCAGCTTGGCGCTGATTGCAAGGCTGACCGAGACCAGCTCCACCTGCTTAATGAAGTCGCCGCTGGAGAAGAAGGCAGAGACCTCCTGCTCGAGCAGGTGTGCAAACAGCCAGCCGAGCAGCAACACCGAGGTCAGTCCTGACCACAAACCCTCCGTGACCTGCTCGAGGGCGGGCAGGACCCCCGACGCCCCCTGCGATACGAGAGTCGACACCCCTCCCCAGATGTCGTCGACGGCGATGGCGAGCGTCGGCGTCGGCACAAGGGTCATCCATAGCGCGAGCAGCGCCCAGCTGATTGACGACAGGACGAACCGGAAGACTGGAACATCCAGCAGGTAGAGCGAGTCGGTGTAGAGCTGCGCAGACGGGTTCCACTTGCGCTTGAAGTCCTCGCTGTGCGGCGTGCGGTGCGTGGATGCCAGTCTGAAACCGAGGTGAAGGCTCTGCAGCAGGACGGAGCGCAGGGGCGGCACGAGCGCCACGAATGGCAGCACCAGCAAGTTGAGCCCCACGGCCACAACAAGCAGCAGCGCGCGCGACAGCGGACGGCGAAGCTTTTGCTCGACGCCGTTGGGCGTGACGACGTAGCCAGAGACGACAGAGTGCGACAGCTCACCCATCCAGCGGCGCTCGATCGCGCTCTGCACAGTTGGGTCAGCCAGCAATGTCTTGCAAGGGACTCCGACGGCGCGGGCGAGGAAGTTTCGAGGCCGCCCCACCATCCCGGCCTGTCCACTCGTGCGCGGCACTGTCCTGGCGCGGCTTCCCTCGCTCTCGAGCAGGTGCATCTGCTGCAGGATCGACAGGCGGCTGAAAAGCAAGTTCCCATGGTTCTGTGCTCGCTCAGACGCCGCCGTGAGGTCGGCCGCCGCCGCAGGGCGGGTCCGTTTCTGCATCGCCGCCGCCGCCGTCGCACGCCTTGAAACCTCGGCGACATAGCAGAGCGCCTCGCCGGCCGAGACGCGAAACAAGGCCGGCAGCAGCTCAATGGCTGAGTTGAGCTTCCCAAGAAGCTGCTCTGCCGAGAGCTCGTCGTCGCGGAGGGCGAGGTCGATGGCCGTCGCGCCGTTGGCGGTTTGGATTGTAGGCGAGGCTCCCCGCCGGAGCAGCACGCGCACGACCTCACTGTGCCCATGCGTCGCCGCGACCTGCAGCGGCGTGAGCACGCTGCCGGAGGCAGGCACGTCCACCCGGTGCAGTATCGCCGGGGAATTGCGACCGCGGGGAGCGTCGCGGCCGCGGGGAGCGTCGTCGTGGCCGCGTGACAGCTGCCGGCGGGTGAGCTGGAACTCGACCAGCTCCTCGGGCAGCAGCCGCTCGTCGCGGACGAGCGAGTCGACGAGGGCAGCGTCTCCCATGGCGACGGCGTCGTGCAGCGCGAGCCAATTGCGATCGGCGGCATCCTGTGCCGCACAGCGCTGCCCGTCCACCTTGCCGCTGTGGTCGGGCTTGCGCGCCACCTCGACAGGCGCCTCGACGCCGACGCCCCTCAGGTACGCCGCTTGTTCCTCATCGAGGACGGATGCGGCCTTGGCGAGGCGCATGTCGTCCGCCACCTTGAGGTAAAAGTAGACGGCCTCGCCCTGCCCGCTGGGCGAGGAGGAGTAAGCGAATGCGCCAAACTTGATTGGGTGCTCGCCGGCCTCCTCCCCCGGGTTGAGCCAGAGGAAGGACTCTGCGCCGACCCCGAGGAGGAAGGAGAGCGTGACGTCCCGCCATTGCCCCCGGACCTGATGGACCTCGCGAGCGGGGGTGATCATGCGGTGCGGACCCGTGAACTCGACCGTGTGATTCTTCGAGTAGAGGTCGTTTGTCGGAAGGCTGACGTAGGTCACGCGCAGCACTTTGGCGCGGCTGCCGTCACAGTCGGCGTACACAAAGCCGCCCGACACCAGTAGTCCCTCGAACGGGTCGCACACACCGTCGCGCTGTCCACCCACGTCGTCGAACCTGCGAGCGTCGAGGACACCGTACAGAAATGCTTGGTGCGTCGCATGCTGCGGGATGTTGAAGCGTGCTCGTAGCTCCCACCCGACCGTGATGGGCGCAAAGCGCGCGCATCGGCATCGCACCCACTGCTCGCCACATGCGTGGATAGCGGACTTGGATAAGAGCGCGCGAACCCCGTCGCGCAGCTGGAGCGAGCTCAGCCGGAGGTTGATAGCGGAGACGCTGAAGATCTCGGCCTGCTCCGAGGAAAAGCGATAGTGAGAAGTAATGCGCTCCTTCTGGCTAGCCGTTGCTACGTCGTCCGACGCTACTATTCGCACCGTATTGACGACGATGTTGCGGGACATCTCGCTCCCCGAGATGTTGTCTGAGGTCGTGCCAATGAGCCGCAGCGTCTCGGGGTCGCTGGGCGTCTCGGGGTCGCTCCAGAGCGCCGGCACGGGCCGGAAGACGAACTTCAAGGACAGGCCACGCATCTGCCGCTCGATTTGCGGCACCTTGAGCATCTCGTCGGCGACGTGGTACACCCAGGCGCAGTGCGGCTGGTAGATTGGCACCTCGGGCGATATGTCCACCCACTTCACGCCCGGGCTTTTGATCTCGCCCTGCCCAAGGTCGTCCAGGTGGTAATGTCGCACAGTTGTCTCGATCCACGCGTCGTCGGTGTTGCGGGCGTCGTCGACGTAGCCACGAAAGACCGGCTCCGCCGTGCCGCCTTCTGCGAGATTGACGATGTCGACGCCCTTCTCGCGAAGCCCACGCTCCATCGCTTCGATGTCGCGCTCCCAGCCTCCGGCCGGCGAACCCCTTAGCCTCGCGCCCGGGACGGCCCACTCCTTGCCGTCTTTATGCAGCACCGCGAGCAGCTGGAGCCTGCGCTGGCCCGACCCCGGCTGGAAGCGAGTGATGATGGGATCGACCGCGTAGTTCGCCCCTGCGACGGTGAACTTGTCCCAGCCACCCGTCAGCCCAGTGCGGCCTCCAGGATTGAGGCCTGCTGCACGGATCTGCTCCTCTTTGAGGCCCATGTCAGGATTGAGATTGAGGCCTGCGCGACGACCTGCCGCGAGCTCAAAGCCGGAGCCGACTGGAGCGTAGCCAGGAAAGGGCCGTGCCCATGGGACGTGCTCGTCGTCGACGTGCGACCGTCTCACTGCCGCCAGTGGGAAACGCTCAGTCAAGTAATAGCGATCGCTGTCACGAGCCAGCCTGTGCGGTGCCGACGACCGCTGCTCCGGCATGGGCTGAATGGAGCTGCTAGCGCGGCACATGCTGGCACGGCGAGTCCTGTCTGAGATCTCGTCGATCCCGTCGTCATCCTTGTCGGGCGTGGCTGTGCGTCTGGCCGTGAGCCAGCTCCTCCGAGGCGGTGGCAACGCCGGCCCATTTTTGTCAGCAAGAGCCGAAATGCTCCGCAAAGTCTGTTTGTGAGCACTCGAGTTGGGCCTCGGGCGGCTCACGATTGCGCTTGAGACGCGCCGACCAAGGCTCGAGGTTCTGATTTCTTTTTATGTGTTTAGGACGTGCACGGACGAAGTGCATTGCCGTGCGTGCTTACCGGAGTCGCTAGGCGGCTCCGGTGGTTTGCCTGTGATAGTGCTCGCACGCGCCAGTCCGCACCTGTGTCGAGCCTGTCTGCGACGAGAGAGTTGTTTTCAGTTAAATTCTTCTCGAGCGTGTCAAAAAAAGCGGTCCTGGAAGAAACTAGAAACACTGAAAAACTCACTCGAGCGTGACAGCCCAATCGCCGCGCCGCGCAGCCCAAGCGTGTGAGGAGCCGCTGTTGAGCAGAGCCGCTGTTGAGCAAAGCCGCTGTTGAGCACATCGCTGCCGCCACCTCTGTTGAGAGCCGACGCCCAAGGAGTAGTACGCAATGCCGCACAGCGCCGCTAGCGCCACCTCCGCGGAGGAGTACCTGTCCCGCTGGCGCGGCCCGCTCGAGGAGCACCTTCACAAGGCGGTCGGCAAGGCGCTGGCCGAGCAACCAGAGGACCCTTGCACTGCCGTCGCGCTCGAGCTCTTGCGTGGGACCGGCCTCGAGGAGAGAGCGGCCGCTCTCTCCGCCGCGCAAGCAGAGCAGGAGGACGGTCCTCAGGACGACTTAGCAGGTCGTCCTTTCCAGCGCCGCTGCCTCCGCCACTCCCCACTCGCCTCTGCCACCGCCTCTGCCACCGCCCCGTCCCACGCGCTTTTTTTCCGCGCCCCGCTCTCGCCTGCCTCGGCCGCACCTCCCTACTCACGGTCGCGCTCTCCCCGGTGCAGGACACGCTCAAGTGGGCTGCACCGCCTCCAAGAACAACGAGACGGAGCTGCGCAAGCTCAGGGACGAGATCCAGTCTCTCAAGGACGAGAACCAGTCGCTCAAGGACCAGCTCAACAACGTCGGCACGCCGAGCGCCACCGTCCCTTCGCGCGACGGCAAGGCCGACGCATTCCCCGCACCGCCGCCTTCGCCACCGCCACCGCCCCCACCCACACACACCGCTGCCGCTTCCGCCGCCGCCTCCCTCTCCTCCGCCACCGCGTCTCCCTCTTCTCCGCCACCGCGTCTCCCTCCCCGCCGCCTCACCCCTCCCTCTCTCTGCCCCTCTCAGGTCGACGCGGAGCCCGCTGCGCAGTGGGGCATCGCCGGCTGGGTGAACTCCCTCGCCCTAACCGAGGTTGTGGCCGAGGCGCTGAAGGAGCCGGCCGGCACCGCCGACCCGTTCAAGTACGTGTGCAACCTCTCGCTCGCCGACCTCAAGGAGAAGCTCGAGGCGGTAAAGCTAAGTGAGGCGATCGCCGAGACCCTCTGGTCCGCCATTGAGAAACTGCGCGGCCAGAGCGCCGCCACCGGGGCGGCGCTGAACGCCAAGTTCGCCGCGGAGGGCGACGCGTTCAAGGGTGAGATGGGCTTTGGCGGCGTCGAGCAGTTCTACGGAGGCGTGCTGCACGACAGTAGCTTGCCTATCCTGCCCGCCCTCTCTCACACCGACAGCCCCCACCGTCCCCTGAGCAGGCCTCGAGAAGCTCATCGGGCCGCCGCTGATGGTGGAGGGCTCGCTCTTCAAGGCCATGGAGACGGAGCACTGCGCAGAGAAGGATGCGGAAGTGCCGTTCGACACCTCCAACGGCATCGAGGGCGCGACCTCCAAGCTCGAGTGGGAGTTTGTCGTCGTGCCCGTGGTCGAGGACCAGGACAGCCGCTACGCAGAGCGCGGCGGCGACTTCCGCACGGCTCACCGCGAGTGGTGCCGCAAGCCGGAGCCGCTCTCTGTCTTCGAGAAGAAGATGGCGGACGCGGTGAACCCGAGGCTCGTTGAGGCGGGGCAGGCGCCGCTCATCAAGGAGGAGCTCGTCGCCGGCCGGCTGTACACGGGGCCGATGTACGAGAAGTACAACGGCGTCCTCCGCTTCTCCTCAGCGCGCGGTGCCGACGGCGCTGTGCTGCTGGAGTACGCCTCGATGGAGGAGGTGCCCTTTCTGCAGAAGAAGTGCGGCACGCTTCACCTCGGCGAGTGGGCTGCGACGGCGGCGGGCACAGGCGAGCCCTCGGGCGCGGTGCGCTGGACGTGGCACAACCAGTACTCGACCACCATCCACGCGATCAACTCGATCATCGTCAAGCTGTCGCCGCTGACCAGGATCACGCCGCTCTACCGCGGCTGGGCGGGCGCCACGCTCCCGGAAGCCTTCTTCAAGCCGGACGCGTTCGGCTTCCGCGGCGGCGTCGAGTACGGCTTCTCATCGACCACCACCGACCGCGCGCAGGCGGTGCACTACGCGGAGGGCAAGGCGTCGACGGTGCTCGAGCTCGTGATGGGCATGATCGACCGAGGCGCCGACGTCTCGTGGCTCTCGCAGTACCCGCACGAGAAGGAGACGCTGCTGCCGCCGCTCATGGGCCTGCAGGTGCGTCAACCTCGCCCCTCCCCCGCTCAGTCCTCGACATGCTCTCATCGCCTCCCCCCCTTCCCGACACCTGCAGGTGCGTTCGACGGGCGTGGAGGGCAGCACGCTCGTCGTCCAGTGCAGCTTCTCCATCAACATGGCCTCGCTCACGCTCGAGCAGGTGGCGGGCAAGCGCAAGAAGCTGCTCACCGACATGGGCGCGCAGATGGCGGCCGAGGTGCGCCGGGGGGTGGCGGAGGGGGCAGCGGAGGAGGCGGCGAAACTAGTGCGCGCCCACCTCGGCCTCGAGCGATGCGCGGACGCCGGAGGCGCGGCGGACAAGCGGCTCGAGGCGCCGCTCGGTGACGAGGCTGAGGCGTACAACTCTGACCCGCGCTTCCAAGCGGCGGTGGGCGACGCGCTCAAGGTGAAGCGCGCGGCGGTGCTCGCGGCGACGATGCAGCACGGCGGCGGCGGCGGGCTTGCCGCGGCGATGGATGCGGTATTGCCGCTGCAGGCCAGTGGTGTCGATTTGACGGGGTACGACCTTGGCGACGGCGGCGTGATGGTGGGAGCAGTGGTCGCGTGGATGAAGTCCGAGCCGTCGGCGCTGACGTCGCTGAAGCTTGACTGGGGCAAGGCGTGCGGCCGCGTGCGGGAGGCGGTGCTAGGCGTGGTGCGGACGACGCGCACGCTCGTCGCGCTGAGCGTGGGCGAGGAGGGGGCGATGCCGCTCAACCCGCTGCAGCTCTGCGGGCGCGAGGCGGTGCCGTCGCTCGATTTGTCGAGCAAGAAACTCGGACCCGGATCGGCTGCCGTCGTTGCGGCGGGCGGTCTCTCGGTCAATGGGGTGCTGACCGAGCTCGACCTCCGCCACAACGACATCGGCGACGAGGGCGCCGTCGCCCTCGGCGAGGCGCTGCGCGTCAACGGGGCGGTATTGACCTCCTTGGACGTGAGCTACAACCGCTTGACCGAGGAGGCGGCCCTCGACATCGTGCGCGTCGAGCGGCAGCGCAACAAACTCACCTCGCTGGGCTTGAGTCGCTGCAGCATCGGCCCAACTGGCGCCGCAGAGATCGCCGAGTACGTGTCGGGCAGCGGGGTGCTGACCAACCTCTCGCTCGGCGACAACAACATCAGCGACGAGGGCGCCAAGGCGCTAGCAGCCGCTCTTCGCGTCAACGGGGCGTTGACCCACCTGGACCTCGAGAAGAACCGCATCCGCGACGAGGGCGCCAAGGCGATCGGCGAGGCGCTGCGCGTCAACGGGGTGCTGAACAACATCGACCTCCGCTACAACAACTTGGGCGACGAGGGGAAGGGAGTGATTCGAGATGCGGTGAGCGGGCGGGAAGGGTTCAAGCTCAAGATGAGTGGGCGCTGAGAGCGGAGTCGGCCAGGGGGGCGTAAGTACGTGCATGGGATTAGAGTCTTGAGAAGCGCTTCGGCGTCGCGGAGATTGATTTCTTTTTGCGTGGTAAAATTCTTTTTGCGTTTTTCAGCAGGGTGCTGACCACCCTCAAGCTCGTCGACAACAACATCGGCGACGAGGGCGCCGTTGCGCTGGCCTCCGCTCTTCGCGTCAACGCGGTATTGACCGAGTTGATGCTCTTCGCGAACGCGATCGGCGATGAGGGCGCCACCGCTCTGGCCTCCGCGTTGGAAGTCAACGGGGTGCTGACTAACCTCGTGCTATTCCGGAATAACATCGGCGAAAAGGGTGCCAAAGCGCTGGCCTCCGGTCTGCGCTTCAACGGGGTGCTGAAAAGCATCGACCTCCGCTTCAACGATTTGGGCGACGAAGGGAAGGGAGCGATTCGAGATGCGGTGAGCGGGCGGGTAGGGTTCGAGCTCGAGATGTGAGTGGGCTCGAGAAGGAAGGTGCATGAAATCGGACGGTCTACTTGTAGCTTTTGCTGGTATATTCCGTTTTTCTTTTGTTTGTTTTTCAGCAGGGTGCTGACCGACTTGAACCTCTGGGACGACAAGATCGGCCCCGAGGGTGCCAAGGCGCTAGCATCCGCTCTTCGCGTCAACGCGGTGCTGACCAATTTGAACCTCTACGGCAACGACATCGGCTCGGCGTGAACGGGATCGGCCCCGAGGGCGCCAAGGCGATCGGCAAGGCGCTCGCGGTTAACGGGGTGCTGACGCACTTGGACCTCGAGGACAACAATTTGGGCGACAAGGGGAAGGGAGCGATTCGAGATGCGGTGAGCGGGCGGGTCGGGTTCAAGCTGGAGATGTGAGTGGGCGCTCGAGAAGGAAGGTGCATGAAATCGGACGGTCTTGTAGCGCTTTTCGTTGGGATATGCATGGTATTTTTTTCAGCAGGGTTCTGACCAATTTGAACCTCTACGGGAACGAGATTGGCGACGAGGGCGCCACTGCGATCGCCGAGGCGCTGCGCGGCAATGGGGTGCTGAAAACGCTCAACCTCAGCCAAAACCAGCTGTGCGGCATCGATTTCATGGATGAGGTGTTTACCAAGCTCCACCTCGGCGAGAACCAGCTGTGCGGCCTCGATCGCTTTGGCCGCGGTACCTACTCGGCCGCCGGTATCACAGCGCTCGCCGAGGCCCTCAAGGTCAACGAGGCGTGCTGAAAAGCCTCAGCCTCCCCTTCAATCGCATCAGCGCCGCCGGCGCCGCTGCGATCGCCGAGGCTCTGCGAGGCAACGGGGTGCTGACCGATCTGAACCTCTGGGGCAATGGCATCGGCGACGAGGGCGCTATGGCGATCGGCGAGGCCCTGGCGGTCAACGGGGTGCTGACCTCCTTGGACGTGGGCGGCAACAGCCTCACCGAGGAGGCGGCCCTCAGCATTGTGCGAGTCGAGCGGCAGCGCAACAAGCTGACCTCGCTGGGCTTGGCTGCCTGCGGCATCGGCCCGACTGGCGCCGAAGAGCTCGCCGAGTACGTGTCGGGCAGCGCGGTGCTGAAAAACATCGACCTCAGCTACAACAACTTGGGCGATGAGGGGGAGAAAGCGATTCACGATGCGGTGAGCGGGCGGGAAGGGTTCGAGCTCGAGATGTGAGGGGTGGATTCTGGAAGGCCCCCGCACGGGGGGTCCCGGGGGGCACCATGATCGTCCGCCAGGGGTCCGGGGTCGCCCAGGCAAGTGGCCCAAATCCGATGAGTTTTCCAGGTGTGAATTCATCCCAGGCGGGGTGCGGGACGGTAGCCCCGCAGAGAAAATTTTGCGTGCTGGGGCACTGAGATCGCAGTTTTATTAGTCCAGAGCACTTGGAGTGCAGTCAGTAACCTCACATCCAGGGCCGGGGAGCTAAGAAGCGCACCCAGCGGGCCGGATGATCGGGATCGGGTTAGTACTCTCCGCCCCGCTTGCAACGCGACAACGGCTTCATCATCTTCATCATCCTCGACATCCATCGCCGGTGCGGCGGCCGGCGAGGCCGCGGCGGCGGCGCCGGCGTTGACCAAGAGCGCTAGGAAGCGGCTCAAGGAGAAGGCGAGGAAGGGGCGGCGCGCTGCAGAGGCGGCGGGCGAGCCGGAGGTGGCGCCATCGCCGGCGCCGCCGCCGGTGTTCAAGACGCTCAGGGAGAAGAAGGCGGCTCAGGCGTCAGCGGAGGGCTGGGCGGCGGAGGTGGCGAGGGCCGAGGAGCTCTACGAGGAGCTGCGCGAGCGTGCGCCCCAGCACTGCCGCCGTGGCGGCAAGTGGGCGCGCGAGAAGCTCGTGATGGCGGTGCAGGGAGAGTTCCCGCGCGCGCGAGGGGCAGGCGTTCCCAAGGGGACGATCCTGTGCCTCGGCAGGGTGCTCGACGCGCACGATGAGCAGGATGACGCGGAGGGTGGGCACCGGGACTGGGAGGAGGACCCGCTCGGGTTCGACACCAACCCGATGCTGCTCCGCGCCATGTGCATGGCGTTCGAGTGAACGCCGTGCAGGCAGCCCGTGCCTTTTGGTGTACCGCGTTTGTACCGCGTCCTGTGCCCCCGAGTTCATTTAATAAAAGAAAGGTGAAGAACAGTCAGGCTCGGACTGGACACCAACGCGGTATGGGTGGACGCGGGACAGATGATGACGAACGACAGTAAAGAAAGAATTCTTAAGATACAAGCCTCTCTCACAGCACACTGGCACGACAAGGGCGCGGACTGGCGCGGACTGGCACGCACTAAAGAATTCTTAAGATACAAGCCTCTCTCACAGCACACTGGCACGACAAGGGCGCAGACTGGCGCGGACTGGCACACACACAGGCTCACCACCGGAGCACTAAAGAAAGAAAATCTCGCTGTGACGAATCTGGCCATCACGAACTAAGTGTGCCATGGCGTCCATCGTTCTCGACCAGCGGGAGAGGATTGTCGCCGTCAACTCGGCGTGGACACGGCTGTGTGGCTTCTCGGCCAACGAGGCCCTCGGCAGCTCTCCAAAGCTCCTCCAGGTCCGTGCATAGCTCCTTCATGCATGGCCAGATATGGTCCGGCCGCATGAAAGGAGCGACAGGGTTTCGGACGCTACACACTGCCGACGTCCTTGTCACCCTATTCGCAGGGACCGAAGACAGACACGCGAGAGGCAAGGGCCTTTGCCGAGGCGTGCCGCCTCGGCTCTGCGTCCACCACGCTGACAAACTACCGCAAGGACGGCTCGCCCTTCACGCACCGCATCAGATCGCGCCGCGTGCTCGACGCCTCCGGACGCGTCTACTACCTGAGTGAGGGCCGGGAAGTGCACGGCGTCCTTAGCCTCCTCCCCTCGTCGCAAGTCGCGCGCCTCTTTTGCGTCACACTGCCTCGGCTCGCCGCGGCACTACCTCCCCTCGCCGCACTGTACGCGGCGCGGGAGGTAGCCAACCACGCTTCGGACAGGCGAACTGCGCAGCCCGTGCGGCGCCAGCGGGGCCCCTGAGGAGTAGACAGAGAGAGAGGCGCGCGCGGACGCACTCCCGCGAGGAGCTCCGGCTCTCGGCACCGCCACCCACAGAGCACAAGGCACGCACCCTCCCCTTCCCCCTCGCGTCTCCCGCAGGTCGGTGACTGGAGGCCTCCTCCCACAGCACAAAGCCACGCACCCTCCCCCTCCCCGCTTGCGCGTACCCGCAGGTGGCCCGGCGGGTCGGTGACTGGCGGCCTCCTCCTCCTCGCGGCTGGCACCGGCCTTCTCCTCTCTCTCGCCTCGGCCTGACCAGCTGACGACTCGTTCCTCCACTGTCGAGCAGGCACCAGCGGCTTCCTCTCCCTCGCGTCGGCCCGACAGGGGAGGGAGACTCGTTCCTGGTGCTGTAGGCACCAGCGGCTTTCTCTTCCTCGCGTCGGCCGCCCTCCTTCCGGGCAGCCTGGTCGCCGCCGGCTTCCTCGCCGCCCTTCCTCTCCTCGCCGCCCTCCTCAACCTCCTCCTGCCTGCGCTCCTAGATGCGGATCTCTCTCTCTCTCTCTCTCTCTCTCTCTCTCTCTCTCTCTCTCTCTCTCTCTCTCTCTCTCTCTCTCTCTCTCTCTCTCTGAGTGTGTGTGTGTGTGTGTGTGTGTGTGTGTGTGTGTGTGTGTTGTGGTGGGAGAGCCCTGCCGACTAGCACTCGAGCATTCGGCCGCCTTCCGCCGTCTTCCGCTGTGATCGCTGAATTGCAGCCTGGTGTACTCACCACGCGCTCTTTGCTCACTCCCACTCTCTCCCTGAACCATGCACACGGACGCCCCTCCCTTCTCTCACCCCCTTCCACTCTCGCTCTCCGACTCTAGTGTGTTCATGACGCAGCCCTGCCATCAGTCTATTTACTCACGCCCCTGCCATGCACACACGGACGCCGCCTCGCAGCTCGCTCCCACTCCCCTCCGCTCTCTCTGCCTCTGGCATGTTATAGTGACGCAGCCAGGCGCCTGCCCTCTCCTCATTCGCAGCCTATTGTGTTGATTGTACCTGTACCTACACTTGCACCTGGACTCTCACACCCTAACTCTTGTGTGTTCGACATGACGCAGGCCTGCCCTCGCCTCCTCGGCGCCGCTGCTCTCCCTCCTCGCTCAGCCAGACAACTTGCCCGCCCTCGGCGCCGCCCTGCCGCCCTTCCTCCTCCTCCTCCTCCTCCTCTTCGCCGCCGCCGCCATCGTCGCGGAGGGAGAGGAGGAGCCGCACGCCGTCGGCGGCAGCGGCGAGGGCGGCGATGCGGCGGCAGAGGGCGCGGTGGATACGGCGGCAGCAGTGAATGGGGATGAGGCGGCCATGGCGGCGGCGCGGGCGAAGCGGGCGGCGGCGGGGAAGGCTGCAGACGGGGCGGCGGAGAGGGTGGCGGCGGCGGCGGGGGCAGCTTCCTTCCGCCCGCCCCAGCACCACCCAAAGGTGGTCGCCGTTGGCCTGCTGGCCTTCGCCGCGGCGCACGCGTTCCTCCTCCTACCGCCCCCCGCCGCCGGCTCTCCCGCCGCCAGCTCTCCCGCCGCAGCCACCGCCTCCCCTCCCCGCGGCGGCGGTCTCCGCTGCCTCGACCCGCGCCCTCTCTTCACGGCGTCGTGTGCACCACGCTCGGCGTTCGCCCCTTCGTATAGGTGTGGATCGCCCACCCACCCAATCCTGACACGCACCTCCACCCCTGTCACTCAGCCAGTCCGTCCTGCGCACCTCCACCCCTGTCACTCAGCCAGTCCGTCCTGCGCACCTCCACCCCTGTCACTCAGCCAGTCCGTCCTGCGCACCTCCACCCCTGTCACTCAGCCAGTCCGTCCTGCGCACCTCCACCCCTGTCACTCAGCCAGTCCGTCCTGCGCACCTCCACCCCTGTCACTCAGCCAGTCCGTCCTGCGCACCTCCACCCCTGTCACTCAGCCAATCTGTGTTGTATGCGGGCTTCGCTCTCGGGCCAGGCTGGAGGTTGGGGGGGGGGGGGGGCTATAGGCGGCGCCAATATCTCCCCATATCTCCCCATATCTCCCCATATCTCCCCAAATCTCCCCATATCTCCCCATATCTCCCCAGATCTCCCCCTAATAGGCGGCGCCCTCCGCTGCTTGAACGCGTGCCTCGATGGCGTTCCTGTCGGGGCGCGCGCTTGGCCCGGCGCGCTAGATGCTCGGGGATGGGTCGTTGCGTTCCGACTAGCCACGAGGGGTAGGGGTCAGGGCTAGGGGGGTGTGGGTTCGGGTACCGTGGGGGTAGGGGATGGGTGCGTACTGTGGGGTAGGGGTCGGGGCGCGGGCATGGGGGTTTGGGGCGCACCCCCACCCCGCGCAAGGCAGCGCTCGCGGCAGCACGCCCTCGGCAGCAACATTCGGAGCGTGCCGCAGTCGCATTTTGCGTGCCCGTAGCCTTGGCCCGGCGCCCTGGTTGCCCGGAGGTGGCGGCGGTGGCGGCGGTGAGGGCGGAGAGGGAGGTGGGGGCGAAGGGGGCGGCGGGCTCGGTGGGGGTGGGCTCGGAGAAGGCGGAGAGGGTGGTGGCGGGGACGGGGAGGGGGGGAGGGGGGGTGGAGGACTGTGTGTTCATGCAGGTCGGGCACACGCACACACGCACACACTCACTTCGAACACTCACTCACACCGCGGCGCGGGCCTTGCACGTTGAATGCCGTGGGGCTCCTGTCTTCTAGACGTGGAGTCGCGAGGGGCTAGCCTGGCCCTTGCCCCACCACCTTGTGTGTGTGGAGAAGTTGACCTTCCCTTACCTTGCCTTACTGTCTGAAACAGGCCGGGCACTTCTGCGGCATGCTGGCCTGCATGCGCCGCAGCGCCGACGCCTTCGCGGCGCACGGGGTCCGCCACCCTAGAAGCGGAATATCTCCCCATATCTCCCCATATCTCCCCTTATCTCGCGCCTAGAAGCGGAATTACGTACTCTTGTACTCCAACTAGCGCTCGAGAGGACGCGGGGCTCCGCTGTGTTCGACCGTAGTCGGCCGCACTCACTGCCCCCCCCCCCCCCCCGAGGGGTCACGCGGGGCTCTGAAAAATCTGGACAATGGCGTCTTCCCGCCCCAACGTTGGCGTGTTCCGCACATAAGGCCCGGGGCGGCGGCGATGGTCAAACGGGCGGCGGCGCCCGATCCGGCGACGGCATTCCCCGTGCTACGGAGCGCGGGTCAGAAGCCGTTCACGGGGGCGAGGTCAGCCTGTGGGAGCTCTGGGCGGGCGGCGAAACGGACCCCGTGCGGCATGAGAAAGGGGCCTCCCAATCCCCCCACCCGCGTCCCGGTTTGCGGGGCCAGGGCGTTTTTTGAACCCACAAAAAATCCGGGTGCGATAGAGAAAGGACAAAAACAGGAGACCGGGGGGGCGGTCTTGTTGGGGGGAAGGGGGGAGAGCCCACGGGGGGGGAGGCGTCTCTTAAGGCCCCCCCCCCCCCCCATTACCACACCACCACCACCACCACCAAACCTCCTCCCGGTTCTTCCCCCCCCCCCCCCCCTCCCCCCCTCCCCCTCCCCTCCCCCCCTCCCATATATTAGGAGCGGAGGGCCGGGGTGACTCTGCGGTCGTGCGGCCGCGGGTCTGATCGCTCGCGCGTGCGGGCGGTAGGTGCGCCTGCCTCCGCTCTCGACGGCGCTCTCCCGGCGCCCCTCGGAGACGGGGCCGCCTCACCGTGGGCGCTGCACGGCCGCGGAGAGAGAACTCTCCCCGGCCACTTCCTCGAGACCACTTGGCCCGGCAGTTGGGCCGGCGAGGCGGTGGATGGCTGTGGGTACGTCTTTGCGTGGCACGTGCTGCCGTACTTTTGAGGGCGGCCGAGCAGTGGTGCTGCCGCGGTGCCGGACTTTGGAGGGCGAGCATGCACCTTTGCACGATGGTCGATGCAGCGAGAGTGTGGGGTCGCGAGGGAGCAGCCTGCGCACACGTAGCGAGGGTCGCGTCCTCGCGAATTCCGACACAGGAGCGAGGAGGCGTGTCGACTAAGGTAAGGTAAGGTAAGGTAAATTTCTCCACACACACAAAGTGGTGGGGCAAGGGGGGGCGACCCTCGCATCTCCACACCCGGACACGGGCAGGAGCCCCACGGCATTCAAAGTGCAAGCACTGGCCCGGTGCACGTGGGTGAGCAGCCTGCCCCTCCCTCCCGACAAACCAACTCCCGCACACACACAATCGCACTCTGGCCATCGAATGACTCCGAATGACTCACTGTGTGTGCTAAGACAGAATCTCCGCAGACATCCAAAACGGGCCGTGCCGCGTTTGTGATGTCCTCTCAAGCACTAGCATCTGGGCGCCGCACTCGAGTGGGCGGGTCACATCTATGTGGGCCCAGTGCGCACTAGGCGCATATGCTAGTGCTATCCTGCCCTATGGGAGGCAGAGGGATGGGGGGAGGGGGGGGCAGAGGTAAGGTGGGGTGAGACTGGGGAGGACCTCAGAGATCCTCCATGGGGGTGGGGTCCGGCTCGAAAAGGTCAAAGTGCTCGATGCCGGTCCCGCCATCGCCGCCGACGCCGTCGCCCTCGTCCGCCTCGGAGGCGGGGGTCGTCGGGCGGGGCGCCTCGCCCGTCGCGAACCTGCCGCCGAACACGGCGTCGGCCGGCGCCGAGGCGCCGGCAGCCGTGATCAGGTCGGCGATCTTTCGGTCCCTGCAGGCCGCATCAATTTTGCCGCTCCGGGACGGCTCGTAGAGCTCGTTGGCGAGCCAGTCCCGGGCGACCTTCGTCGCCACGGAGCCCAGAGGGACCGTGGCGTACACCAGGTCGCCGAACCCGCTGCCCCCCTCGGGAGGCAGCGAGTAGGCGACCTGAATATTGGACCCGCTGGGGTTGCGCGCCGCCTGCGCCGCAGCCTCCAAGCCCTCCATCACGAACTCGACGTTCTCGCGCAGCTGCGCGTGCGGGTAGTCCGCACGCTCGGCCTCGCTCGCGGCCGCCGCCGCAGCCTTCCTCTCCGCCTTGTTCGCCTTCTGCCGGGCCTTTTTGGCCCTGCGAGCCGCGGCCCGAGCATCCTTCTGCTCCTCCGTCGGCTCCTGCTTCCGCGACGCGGTGCGCTCGACGATCGAGCGCTCCGCCGCCTGCACCGGCTCGCGGTCGCCCGCGGCCTTCTCGGACTTCAGCTCGAAGGTCGCCGTCCCGTAGCCAGGGCACTCATACCTGAGCTGCGACACACCTGCGAGCCTTGCGGCAATGAGACAGTCTTCCATGTGCGCGCGATCGCAGCGATTCCAGGGTCGTCCGCGGCGCGTTCCCGGCGGCCCGACGGTGGCCGGCGCTTGCGCGCCAGCCCCGTCCGCCGCCGGCTCCGCGGCCGCGGTCCCTGTCATAGCTACGCGCACCATGGGGCGAAGTGCCCGCCGAGAGGTGTCGACTGTCGTTTGTCGGAGTTTTCCCGTGTGTTTCTGTTTGAGGCTCGCAGCAGACTGCACGACGGAGAGTCCGTCTCAGAGTACCTCTGAGCTCTGTGAACAAGCTCTGTGAAACTGAATCGTGAAATATGTTGTAGGGCCGAGCGTTTTTGATCTCTGCACTCTGGGTCTGTGGGCGCCCGCCCGCCGCCTCTGAGGGGGTCGGGCCCCCTAGACTGAAAACAAAAACAAGCTAAAAAGAAAATCAGCCTGCGAGAGAGGCACTGCGCGCCGCTGACCTCATGTGGGGATGTGTGCCGACACCAATACTGATCTAAAACCTGGAAACCCTTGTTCAAAGCCCGTACCTAAGCGCCATCCTTCCTGCTCTCACGTGATGCTGCTTCCCCGCGCCGCCTCCTTGGCCCCCCTGGGCGTATTTTCTACTCCCAGTGGGGGGCCTGGGCCCCCGGGCCCCCTCTTGTTTTCTGTTTTTCAAAACGCCCGCCCGCCCGCCACCCCGAGGCGGCTCGGCCCCCCACAGACCCAGAGATCAAAAACGCTCGGCCTAGCCTGTACCGGTTTGTGGCTGGTTGCTTCCCGCAGGATTAGTCTTCTCTACCAAGGGGACGAACTAGGGCGGCTGGGCGGGGCTGCGGCAAATAAACTATGCAACTGCTAGCGGCTTTGGCCTTTGCCGTACCGCAGTTTGTGTCCGCCGGACGGAGCACGGACGCCGCTCGCCCCTCTGTTCTGTCTGTAGAGCGCCCTGTGTGTGGCGCTCTCCTATTGCGTGACCCACCCACCTCGCCTGTGTCTTTATATGGGCAGGGGTTTCTCCTGCGGAGACGAGTTGTGCGTGCGCGGGGCTCCTCTTTGCGAATACTCCCCGATAACCTTCAAGATTCGGCCGACGTGAAGAGCGAAATATGACCGACCGACACGGCAAAATGGGGGAAGGCCTACCCGGGTATGTCCGATTGACGTGAAGAAAACTGGCGTTACGGGAGGGTGATGGGGGTGAGTTGGCCTGTATACAGGTTTCCGGCAACCCAGAGGGAAACCAGAGGGGGTCCTCTCCAAGTGCTCCAAGTCCGAGAGCTGGCCTGGGGCAAAATCTGAAGCAAAATCGAGGAAACCGGCAAACTACCCGGGTGTTTTCCAGGTATACCCGCAGTTTTAGGTATACCCGCAAAATACCCCGGTATTTTGCCGATTCGGCTGATTTTGGGCCCAAACCAGCCTCACCCTCAGACTCGGCTCAGAGCCCGGAAAATTGATGATTTCCCCCCGGAAACTAGATAGAGAGGAAAGGAGAGGGTGCTGTAGAGAAACAAACAAAGCAGGAAAAGAAAGAAACGAGACGCGGCGCGTGCGCGAGGAAACATGTACACACACACACACACACACACACACACACACACACACACACACACACACTCACACACACTCACACACACACACACACACACACACACACACACACACACACACACACACACACACACACACACACACACACACACACACACACACATCCGCGCGCACAAGAAACACACTGGCGTCCCCCGGGTCCCCCGGGGGTCTCGCTACCGGTCGGCTCGCCGGACCGGCTTCGGTTGTACCTGTGGCCATCGACGCTGACCATCCTGCTGCATACTCAGCGCTTGCCGCCATGTCGACGTCGAGCGTAGGCAGCCCCGACGACAGTGGCGAGCCAGCGCCGCAAGTTATGGCGAAGGTCGCCGAAGGTAGCCTCAGCTCGGCTGCATTCGTTCCCTCCGCCGCCGGAGCCGTCGACCACGCCAACGGCGGGAGCACGCCCGACAAGGCGGCTCGCAAGAAGCGCAAGACGCACACGCAGCACTCCTTCAACTGCTGGGGCCACGAGATGTCGCGCGGTTCAATTGCTCGACTGTGTGGAGAAGTGCTCCTCTCTGCCGGCGGCGGAGCCTTTCGAGAGCACTTTTGCAGCCGGTGCAGGTCGGGGGGAGTATTAATCGCGGCGTCGCGCATTTTCATCGCTCCTCGCGGCCTGAAGAACCGGCGCACAGAAGGCGTGTGGAACGAATGCACCCCATCCGCGACGACGCCGCTGCCGCCGCACCGCGTCGTCAACCAGACCTCAGACTGCACCGGGCCCACGCTGGTCGTTTTGCGGGACGAGGCGCCGGGCGCTCCGCTGCCCGGCCTCATCCCACTCGCTGCCAGCAGCGCGGTCTCTGGAACCGTTTTGGTCGAGTTCCGCGTCGGACGGACTCTCACGCCCGTTTTTCCGCTGCCGGATTGGGAGGGGCCCGGGACGAGCGGCTCATCTTTGTTGGAGACGGCAGGGCGTGCGGCTGAGCCGCCGCGGCTAGGGGCTCAGCCGCTCCTCGCACCTTTCACCTCCCTTTTGCAGGTTCAGAGCCAGATTCAGCGGACGCCGTCCGCCGCCGCCGCCGATGCATGCGCGGCTTCCGCGCTGATTGGGCTCGCGTTGCCGCCTGAGCGGCGCGAGGGCGGCGCAGCCTCCTCGTTGGCCAGCCATGGCGGAGCGGCGCCGGGTTGGATGTCGCGCGCAGCGCCCGCCTCTATGCCGGCCCCCGCCCCGCCGCACCAGCCGGTGCCGCCGCCGATGCACGCTCTGCCGATGGCGGTGGCGGTGCCGATTGCGGTGGTGATGCCGGTGGCGGCGACGCCGATGATGCCAGTGGTGACGGTAATGTCGATGCCGATGCCGCCGATGCCGTACTCATGCTCCGTGGGGGCAGGCGCCTCGCTGCCCTCCCCAGGGTACATCCCGCCGGCAGACGTCCAGACCGCCAGACTGGGGGCCAGCGGCAATGGCGGGCTGGGCAGCACACCGCCACCGTCGCCTCCAGAGGTGAGCGGCGAGCTGAGTACCTCTACCACGCCGCCCGCGCCGCCGCCCGCGCCGCCTGCAGGACGCCAGCCGCACATGCCGGCGCCACTGCTCTTCGCGCCGCGCTCGTGGCTGCCGCTGGCGCGTCTACCGATCCCGGCCGTCCTCGTCGCCTCGGCCGCCATCCCCGTCCTCCTCACCAACGGGCTGGCCTCCTTTGGCGCGGGCGCTTCGGCGGGCGCGAGCTACGTCACGCTCGCCCTCCTGCTGACGCCACGCACGCGGCGCGCGCTCTCGCGCTTGCCTTGCGGCGCCGTGCTCCGGCAGGCGCTGGCATTCTTGGCCGTGGTCTTTTGGGTCCGCTCCCACTCCGCCTCGTACTACGACCAAGAGCCACGCCCCTCGGTCCCGCTCTGGATTGCGCGGCCCGGCGCCTTCACGCTGCCCTTCTTCGCGGCCGCCTACCTGACCCAGCTCGCTTCGGGCAACGGACGGCTGGCGGGGCACGTCTGGTGCGCCGCTTGCATCCTCGTCCCCGCCACGGCTGTCGCGACCATGTTTTTGCGGCCGGCCGCGGCCATCGAGTCGGAGCTCCTCCACCACACGAGCAGCTCGCCACTCAAGTTCGCCGTGACCTTCTCGCTCGGGCTGGTCCACAGTGCACAGCCGCGCAGCACCTCGTTCAAGCTCCTCCTCGCGGCGGCGTTGGTCGCGCTGGGCTCGTCGGTCCTCGCCGTCGCCTACCTCCGCACGGGCGACGGGCGGTGGGTGCGGACCGTCATCCACCCGCTCGGCTTGCCGTTTGCCCTGCCGGCCCTACTCCCGCACGCGATCGAGGCGGAGCTTTGGCGCGGCGTGACGAGAGCTCTCCAGCGCCTGAGAGGCGACGGCCGCCGCCGGCACCGCGGCGGCACACATGTCGAGCGTTAGGGGACGCAGCGGTCGTCGCGTCGTCGCCCGCGGAGTCGGCGTAATATAGATTATTAGAAGACAGACTGCCGTGTTTTTCACAGCCCTATTATACTACCGGTGTATAGCTGAAGCAGTTTCGTAAGTTTTCACACACGGGGGCTCCAATATACTCGACACCGGCGCACGGCAGTGCAGCCCCCTCAAGCTACGTCAAGCCCAAGTGCCCACACGGCACACGCAGGGAGTCACGGCCTCCGCAGACCGCCCCTCCCCCGACGACTCCTCCCCCCCCCGCCGCCACACCGGCGGCAACTGTACGCGCTGGCCGCCCCTCCGGCGCCCGCCCCCGTGGCCCGAGCCGCGCGCGCGTCCGCCACGCGCGCTCTGCGGCTCAGGAGCACTTTCGGCTCAGAAGCACTTGCGGTGCACGATGGACGGGCCCGACTCGTCGTACTCCTGCTTGGAGATCCACATCTGCTGGAAGGTGGAGAGCGAGGAGAGGATGGAGCCGCCGATCCAGACCGAGTACTTGCGCTCCGGCGGCGCGATGATCTTGACCTTCATCGACGCGGGCGCGAGGGCGGTGATCTCCTTGGACATCCGGTCGGCGATGCCGGCGTACATGGTGGTGCCGCCCGAGAGGACGACGTTGGCGTAGAGGTCCTTGCGGATGTCGACGTCGCACTTCATGATCGAGTTGTACGTCGTCTCGTGCACGCCCGCCGACTCCATCCCCAGGAAGGAGGGCTGGAAGAGCGCCTCGGGGCAGCGGAAGCGCTCGTTGCCGATGGTGATGACCTGGCCGTCGGGCAGCTCGTACGACTTCTCGAGCGAGGAGGAGGAGGCGGCGGTCTGCATCTCCTGGTCAAAGTCGAGCGCCACGTACGCCAGCTTCTCCTTGATGTCGCGCACGATCTCGCGCTCGGCGGTGGTGGTGAAGGAGTAGCCGCGCTCGGTCAGCAGCTTGACCATCCAGTCGGTCAGGTCGCGGCCGGCGAGGTCGAGGCGGAGGATGGCGTGCGGCAGCGCGTAGCCCTCGTAGATGGGCACGGTGTGCGAGACGCCGTCGCCCGAGTCCATCACGATGCCGGTCGTGCGGCCCGACGCGTACAGCGAGAGGACGGCCTGGATGGCGACGTACATGGCGGGCACGTTGAAGGTCTCAAACATGATCTGCGTCATCTTCTCGCGGTTGGCCTTGGGGTTGAGCGGCGCCTCGGTCAGCAGGACCGGGTGCTCCTCCGGCGCCACGCGCAGCTCGTTGTAGAAGGTGTGGTGCCAGATCTTCTCCATGTCGTCCCAGTTGGTGACGATGCCGTGCTCGATCGGGTACTTGAGCGTGAGGATGCCGCGCTTGGACTGCGCCTCGTCGCCGACGTACGAGTCCTTCTGGCCCATGCCGACCATCACGCCGGGCTGGCGCGGCCGGCCGATGATGGAGGGGAAGACCGCGCGCGGCGCGTCGTCGCCCGCGAAGCCCGCCTTGCACATGCCGGAGCCGTTGTCGACCACAAGCGCCGCAACCTCGTCGTCAGCCATGTTGTACGGGGGTGGTGGTGGGTTTGTCTGCGGCGGCGGGGGCGGCGAGGGGTGAGGGCGGCGGCGCGGGGCGGCGGCGGCGAGGCCGAGAGAGCGAGACGCCTGTGTCCGACGCTCTCAAAACGGGATCGGCGTGAAGCGCGCGTGAAATCCTTGGCCGAACGGAAGAATTCTAGCGTCGTCAAATGAACTCGGGGACGTTCTGTGTGTGTGTGTGTGTGTGTGTGTAGTAGTGTCCCCAGCTATGGGCGTGTCCACGTTGGAGCCAGGTGTGGTGTGGGCGCGAGAATAGCTCCGCCGTTCATGGAGGCAACCGATGCGAGTCGACTGGTGTGTGTCGTCGTGGTTTCGTATCAAGAATACTCACTCACTCACACACGGGGACGTTCTCACAGCAGACTCGAACAGAAGAAACTTCCCGGAAACATACATCTCACACAGGGCGCGGGGCGAGCCACATCATCACTGGCTCGCGGCAATAAGGACACTCTCGCAAGAGCTCGGAGCATGGACCGCACACGCACAAGTGGCTTCTCAGATGTTGCTCCGCCGCCTCTGCTGCCTCTGGCCCGATCAAGCGCTCGATGGCGCTGACTCGCTCCTCGAGACTACCCTCGATCGCCGCGCCCAAGCTGGCCTCCAGCCGCTCGACACGCCGCATCAGGTCCCCGCCGCCGGTCGACTCGCTGCTCACCGCCTCCTCGCACCGCGACACCCGACGCGCCAGAGCCTCCTCCTCCGCATCCACCTCTGACCGGCGCAGCGCCTCTGCCAGCTCCGCATCCTCGCGCAGCGCCGCCCGCTCCGAATGCATAGTAACAAAAGGTCGCCAGCGGGTGGGACTTGGACTGAGGCGGCTCCGAGGCGAGCGAGCGAGCAACCGGCTCGCTCGTCGCCTCCGCGTCGCCGGCGGTGCGCGTGTTCTCGGGCGGCCCGCCTCCGGCCGGCTTGTGGTAGTCGAGGAAGGCACCCACCACGATCGAGATGACGGCGACGGCGTGCTCCTCGCCCGGGCACTGCCGCGGCGCGGGGGGCTGCTCGTTCTCCCACCCCCGCCCAAAGGGCCCGTTCCACACCAGGTAGCGGTCGTGGTCCGCGCGGCCGGGCGCGAAGGCCATCGCGTCGTCGCCCCACTCCTTGGGGTCGAGGTGCGCGGTGTTGTAGTTCGCGACGACGATGCTCTCCGCCGGCAGCGTGGCCGTGCCGTCGAGGAAGAGGCACTGCATCGGCTTGTCGAGCACCTGAGGACCGGTTGAGGTGTGCATGGTTCGCCACCCCGCTGATGGTGGCGTCACACTGCCGGCGTGCCGAGCGCCTTGTGCGAGCCGGCGACGGGGCAGGCGAGGTACGGGGAGATAGGAGAAGATGTGGGGAGATGTGGGGAGATGTGGGGAGATGGCACGCCTTGTGCGAGCCGGCGACGGGGCAGGCGAGGTACGGGGAGATAGGAGAAGATGTGGGGAGATGTGGGGAGATGTGGGGAGATGGCACGCCTTGTGCGAGCCGGCGACGGGGCAGGCGAGGCGGAGGGCCTGAGGGCGAGAGGCGTGGCTCGTCAAAGGAGAGAGGTGTGAGGAGGGGCGGGCGAGGCAGGGCGCCTCGATGACGAAGTCGGTCGGGCAAGCGCGGAAGAGGGCCGCCATCTCGTCGGCGTCCTCCGTCCACTGCGGGCTGTTTCCGAGCGCCTTTGGGAAGATGCCGCGCGGGAAGCGGAGCAGCTTGGCGAGGGTGTTGGAGCAGCCAGAGGTGGTGCCTGCCGCAAGCGCGGGGGGGGGGGGGGGGGGGTTTAAAAAGGGCCAAGAAGGGCCAAGAAGGGGGAAGAAGGGCCAAAAAAGGCCAAGAAGGGCCAAGAAGGGGAAAGAAGGGCCAAGAAGGGCCAAGAAGAAAAGAAGCCAAGAAGCCAAGGCCAAGATTAATTAACCCCCTTGCCTGGCGCCCCCCCGAGGAAAAAGGCCCTTGAAAACGAGTCCAGCAGCTTGTCCACCTTTGGCTCCTCCCGCGAAGGCACGTCCGAGCTGCCGAGGCAGGAGCCGCACGTCGCCTCGCAGCAGCTCGCTCCGGAGCCGGAAGGGCGCACCTAAGCAGCAGGCTCCCGACACAAGCTCCCGACACGCGGCTCGAAGGTCGGCTCCAGGCTCCGGGCGGGACAAGCGGACGGCCGCGCACCCCGTTCACGTCGGCTGTCACCGACTCGACGCCCGGCACCGCGTCGGCGAAGGCACGCCAGTCGACCGGCCGGCCGGCGAGGGCCGCTGGCCTGGCGCTGTTGCAGTGCAGGTAGAGGAAGCGCTTGAGGGCGGAGGGGGCGAGCGTGCCCGCCGTCTGCAGCAGCGGCGGGTACGAGGGCGGCAAGAGCCAGTACAACGCGCCGACGGTCGTGTAGATGGCGACCTGCGAGGTGGCGTCACGCGTCATCTCGCCCCATCTCGCCCCATCTCGCCCCATCTCAGTCGCCTTTGTGACGAGGTCGTCCCACGCCTCCTTCGCCTCCCCCTCGAGCGCGGTCGGTCGCACGTCGAGCAGCAGCGAGGCGAGCGTCTCGAAGACGGGCTGCGCCATCCACCGCGAGCCAAGTGCCTGCTCACAGCTAGAGCTGTGAAGAGACGCTGATCACAGCTGCGCCATCCACGCGCGAGCAAAGTGCCGCGGGCGGCTGGATCCCCCCCCACCCCGACGCCAGCCACGCGTCCAAGTGCGGCCTCGCCTCCTCGCGCGCAGCTCTGCCGCCGTCCTTGAGCTTGGCGACCACCGACGGCGCGCCTAGGGGCGACCAAGAGAGGGCTCGGGAGTGGCGCACCGAAGGCTCAGCACATCGCCCTGCATACGGCTCGCCCGTGATGTGCTCGCGGAAGGCTTTGCGCCAGGCGGTGTGGTACTCGGCGCCGGTGTGGAAAAAGAGCGGCAGGTTGGTCGCCTGCGGCAGCGTCGCCCCCTTGATCAGCCAGCCGTCGAGGCAGCCGGCGCGCTTGCGGTGCGGGTCGAGCGCTATCTCGCGAGCGAGGCCGTAGTCGCCGATGCGAACTGTGTCCCAGAGCATGAGGTTGCGCCCAAAGTTGGCGTCGAGGTACTCGCGCCTGGCCGGCAGCAGCGTGTCGGTCCACATGCGCTGCTCAAACCCCTGAAAGAGGAACTGGTACCCGTTCATCGCCAGGTCATAGGTCAGCGACGGGATCCGCATCAGCAGCACACCAAGCAGCGAGTTGCGGAGCGGGCCGGTCAGGCACCACATGGCGAACCTCTGGAACAGCAGCGGGCCGCAGCAGCCGGACAGCACGAGCACGACCCCGATGGGCCAGCAGATGAAGAGGAATGCTATCCACGACAGGACGGCGTCGAGTGAGCAGCTGCGAAGGTAGGGTGTCCCGAAGGCATGCGTCGCCGTCTGGCTGCCCGCGACAGCAAACTCCTCGCGCTTGCGGCTGATGTACTCTTGCCGCGGCTTCGCCGCACCCGCTAGCTCTGCCGCCTCGCGCTCCGCTCGCCTCGCAGCCTCCTGCTCAGAAGCCAGCTGCGCCGCCCTCTCCTCCTGTGCGCGAAGCTCTGCCGCAGCCCGCGCTATCAGTGTGGTGACACCGTCGCTCCTCTGCAGGCTTATCTCAGCGCCATGCTGCAGCAGCAGCTCGACCACCCGCTCGTGGCCGCTGCAGGCGGCGGCCATCAGCGCGGGGCCGCAATCGCTGTCCTGCAGGTTCACCTCAGCGCCGTGCTGAAGCAACAAGTTGACCACCCGCTCGTGGCCGTTGTGGGCGGCGCCCATCAGCGCGGTGTCGCCGTCGCTCCTCTGCAGGTTGATCCCCGCGCCGTGCTGCAGCAGCAGCTCGACCACCCGCTCGTGGCCTTGGATGGCGGCGCACATCAACGCGGTGTAGCCGTTGCTGCTTTGCAGGTTGATTTCCGCGCCGTGCCGCAGCAGCAGCTCGATCAGCCGCTCGTGGCCGTTGCCGGCGGCGCCCATCAGCAGCGTGATGCCGCTCACGCCGTCTCTCTCGTACGTCGCGTCGGCCCGCCCGCCGCCATCAAGCCACGCCAGCACCGCCTCCTCCTCGCCTCGCTCAGCCGCTAGCACCGACGGACGAAGTGGGTCAGGGGGGATGGGTTCCGGCTCCTTGGGAGGGATGGGGGGGCTGCGGTAGAGGATGTGTGTCTTGTGAGCTTGTTTGTGTCTGTGTGTCGTTCGTGCGTGTCGTCATCATCTGTCCCGCGTCCACCCATACCGCGTTGGTGTCCAGTCCGAGCCTGACTGTTCTTCACTTCCTACATACATACAGAGGATGTAGACTGTGTGTGTCTCGCGCCTTGCGGGGGGGGAGCGGAAAGGAGGAACCTCTTCCCAAGAGCACCACTCTTGGAGCGCCGCCACTACCACCCAGAGCGCTGCAAGCAGCGCCGGGCAATGACGGCCTACCGCCCACCCAGCCCCCCCTCGGCACACCCCGGCAGCCAATGTGTGACGGCTCGAACCCGCTAAGCCATCCCGCAAGCGGGATGGCCCGCCACTCGAACCCGCAAGCGGGTGTACGAACCGCGAGCGGCTCGCACTCGTGACACGCAGGCGTCCGACAGACGGCGCCGGGGCTAGGCGACCGAAGAGGAACTACGGCAAGAACCGCACACCACCCGCTGACGAGCGCTCGCGGAACTGGTCCGCGGCGCCCGCCAGGGGCGTGCGCGAGACAGGGCTCGAAGCCCTTTTCTGTGAGCAGGGATTCCCTCCCGGCGGGGGTTGTGGCGGAGAGCCGGCATGGGAATCGCCGGCCCCCACCCAGGGGGTGCCCCTGACTGTAGAGCGCAGGTAGAGTTGTACTGGAGCGGTCTTCTGTTATCTTGCAGAAGTGCAAGAACCATACCTGTACAGCTCTACACGCGAGAGTGTCCCTATTGCCGCGAGCCAGTGATGATGTGGCTCGCCCCGCGCCCTGTGTGAGATGTATGCCGGGAAGTTTCTTCTGTTCGAAAAAAAGAAAGAAAGAAAACCGACACGCCAAAGAGGGATGGGACGAGGACAGGGTCCCCACCTGCACGAGCAGGATTTTGGAAGGACGATCAGGGGGACAGGTGGGGCTCTCCTGCTCCTGACAAGGGACACGACGGGCTCGCAGCGCGGTGCACGGTGGGCTCCCAACTCCACTGGCGGTCTCATCTCAGTCTATTCGAGTCTGCTGTGAGAACGTCCTCGAGTTCATTTCAAACTCAGAATTCTTCCGCTCGGCCAAGGATTTCACGCGCGCTTCACGCCGATCCCGTTTTGAGAGCGTCGGACACCTCTCGGCCTCGCCGCCGCCGCCCCGCGCCGCCGCCCTCACCCCTCGCCGCCCCCGCCGCCGCAGACAAACCCACCACCACCCCCGTACAACATGGCTGACGACGAGGTTGCGGCGCTTGTGGTCGACAACGGCTCCGGCATGTGCAAGGCGGGCTTCGCGGGCGACGACGCGCCGCGCGCGGTCTTCCCCTCCATCATCGGCCGGCCGCGCCAGCCCGGCGTGATGGTCGGCATGGGCCAGAAGGACTCGTACGTCGGCGACGAGGCGCAGTCCAAGCGCGGCATCCTCACGCTCAAGTACCCGATCGAGCACGGCATCGTCACCAACTGGGACGACATGGAGAAGATCTGGCACCACACCTTCTACAACGAGCTGCGCGTGGCGCCGGAGGAGCACCCGGTCCTGCTGACCGAGGCGCCGCTCAACCCCAAGGCCAACCGCGAGAAGATGACGCAGATCATGTTTGAGACCTTCAACGTGCCCGCCATGTACGTCGCCATCCAGGCCGTCCTCTCGCTGTACGCGTCGGGCCGCACGACCGGCATCGTGATGGACTCGGGCGACGGCGTCTCGCACACCGTGCCCATCTACGAGGGCTACGCGCTGCCGCACGCCATCCTCCGCCTCGACCTCGCCGGCCGCGACCTGACCGACTGGATGGTCAAGCTGCTGACCGAGCGCGGCTACTCCTTCACCACCACCGCCGAGCGCGAGATCGTGCGCGACATCAAGGAGAAGCTGGCGTACGTGGCGCTCGACTTTGACCAGGAGATGCAGACCGCCGCCTCCTCCTCCTCGCTCGAGAAGTCGTACGAGCTGCCCGACGGCCAGGTCATCACCATTGGCAACGAGCGCTTCCGCTGCCCCGAGGCGCTCTTCCAGCCCTCCTTCCTGGGGATGGAGTCGGCGGGCGTGCACGAGACGACGTACAACTCGATCATGAAGTGCGACGTCGACATCCGCAAGGACCTCTACGCCAACGTCGTCCTCTCGGGCGGCACCACCATGTACGCCGGCATCGCCGACCGGATGTCCAAGGAGATCACCGCCCTCGCGCCCGCGTCGATGAAGGTCAAGATCATCGCGCCGCCGGAGCGCAAGTACTCGGTCTGGATCGGCGGCTCCATCCTCTCCTCGCTCTCCACCTTCCAGCAGATGTGGATCTCCAAGCAGGAGTACGACGAGTCGGGCCCGTCCATCGTGCACCGCAAGTGCTTCTGAGCCGAAAGTGCTCCTGAGCCGCAGAGCGCGCGTGGCGGACGCGCGCGCGGCTCGGGCCACGGGGGCGGGCGCCGGAGGGGCGGCCAGCGCGTACAGTTGCCGCCGGTGTGGCGGCGGGGGGGGGGAGGAGGAGTCGGGGGAGGGGCGGTCTGCGGAGGCCGCGACTCCCTGCGTGTGCCGTGAGGGCACTTGGGCTTGACGTAGCTTGAGGGGGCTGCACTGCCGTGCGCCGGTGTCGAGTATATTGGAGCCCCCGTGTGTGAAAACTTACGAAACTGAGCACCCGAGCAATCGCTTGACTCTGAAAAGCTCGCTGTACCTTTTTCTGAGCGCTGTAATCGGTATCGCCGCAGACTGGCTGCGACTTGACGGCGGCATGGCGAGACGTGATGCCTCCATGCCGCCGTCAAGTCGAAACCGACATGCAGCTTGATGTTTTGCCCGAAAAGGCGTCAGGGGCGGCGACCCCGCCATCTACAGATGATATGCGCATCCTAGATGCCAAACGCCATCTAGGATGCGTTTTCCATCGCCTAAGGACACCGGGTGTCTCCACTATGATTTGGTTCTCCAAGAAGATTTTAATCATCTTTAGATGGTGCCCCGCGTCTTTTGATAGCGCGTGACATCTCAAATACTGCAGTCGTCTTCATACGCACAAGTGTGCCGAGATGATACCCTCTTGTCGGATTTTTCCAATATTTTCGATCGACAGTGTCGGAGTTCTTTTGCCGAACCCAGAAACCCAAAATAAAAGCCAGTCTTACACATAGGCAACCGCAACCGTCCATGTAGTACAGTCAGCATTAGCACAAGGGCTAAGTGCCCCCCACCATCACTCACTGGCTCCCAGACCCAGTTCCATAACCATCCGTAGTATTCCACAGACGACAGAGCAGTTAGTCACATCTCACTTACGACTTAGCATGGCAACTGAAACTAGCATAGATTCACAGTCTCCATTCCAACTTTGATCCAAGGGCTCACACATATCGCTCAGGTCTGTCTCATTTAACTTGCATTTTAATCATTCGAAATGCCAAGCATGTTGGGATGCGAAGCAGCTTCAGATGATTCGAGCATCCCAGGATGCTTGGAGCACTTGGAGTGCGGTCATTAACCTCACATCCAGGGCCGGGGAGCGCTGAGAAGCGCACCCAGCGGGCCGGATGATCGGTATCGGGTTACGGGCTAGAGAGCCCTAGCCCTGGGGGGTGCGCGGTCGCAGGGCCATAACACGGGTCTCCGAGGGATAGCTCCGCGCTCCGGGTTTCCTCCCCTAGCAGCAGAACGCACCCTCTACTCGGAGCTAGTAATACGAGAATACTCTCCGAGGGATGCTCCGGCATTTTAGTTGAAAAAACCATCTAGAGATGCTCGATCATAGGCAAGACAGTGTGCAGTCCAAGTAGGTGCATCTTAGATGCATATTATCTCAAGATGCGCATATCATCTGTAGATGGGGGGGTCGCCGCCCCTGCCGAGGTACGTAGCGGCGTTTTGGGCGACAACAGCGCTGCGACCGCGAAGTGGCGGTGGGACATGCTCCCACGTTGCCGACGCGGCGCCGGAGTGGCCGGCGCTGCTCGCCGCGACCACGACGGCTACACTCTGATACTCCGGGCCGACCCGTCCTACCCGACGGTGGCACTCTTCCACGTCTCGCTCACGCTGAGAAAATTTCTGAAACGGCGTGCAGCAGAGTCACCGTCGAGTCGGTCCGCGTAGGAGGCGGTGGGGGTGTGCAAGCAGCGCCGGGCAATGACGGCTTACCGCCCACCCAGCCCCCCCTCGGCACACCCCGGCAGCCAATGTGTGACGGCTCGAACCCGCTAAGCCATCCCGCAAGCGGGATAGCCCGCCACTCGAACCCGCAAGCGGGCGTACGAACCGCGAGCGGCTGAATGAGCTTGCCAGCGGCGAGGGCGGTCGAGTGCACGGAGCTAAGTGCCTCGCCGTGAGTCGCTAAGGCGGCTCCAGTGGTGTACCTGTGTTAGTGCCAGTGCGCGCCAGTCCCTTGCCCAATTTTGTGAAGGAATGTCGGCAAAATTCTTCCTTCTAAAATTCTTCTTTCTTTCGGCGGCAACAACGCGGCCCACCACAGCGCGGCACTGTACCGCTGAGCCGCCAGGTAGGAGCGGCGGTACGGCGGCACGGCGTTTTTGAATAAGTCCGCCGGGCGGCGGCTCTTGGCTCTTAGCACCTTTACGCGGGTAATCACGCGTCAAGCCCAACCGCGGGGCGCATGGTCGGCGCCTGCGGCCTTGGTGGGCTTGCCGACCACACATACCTCTGGACGCAGGCAAGTGCGCAGAGTCACGCGCTTCTACGCCACTGGCTGGGCCACTACATGGAGCAGGGCGTGCGTTTGGCGACACATGCTTCTGTGCACCTTGAGCCATCCCAGAGCGACCGTGAGCTTGAGCTGGCGCTAGAGGCCCTCGCAGCTCACCAGGTTCGCAATGTGACTGTTCTGGAGCGAGGGATGAACAGCTCTGGGCTCGCGGCGCGACTCCGTAATGGGGTGAACACGTTTCTTGGCTTGTTGCCAGAGGATGCTTGGCTCATCTGGGCTGATGTTGACGAGTTCTTCACCTGGCCCTGTAACGTGGCGCAGATGCTCAAGCAGACGCGCTTGAGCGCGGCATGCGGTCGCATGAGCGACCGCCTGGCCCAGGGGCTCATCGGCATGCGCAAGGTGACGCATGCCACCAGCCTTTTCGAGCAATTCCCAGTCTGCTCGACTCTCCGGCGCCGCATTGGAGGGGTTGCCGCCAAGCTCACTCTGCTGCGTTCGCGTATTAACGGCCAAGTGCCGCGCTTCGTGACGGCGCACACCGCGGTGGTGCGCGGCCAGTCTATGGGCGGCCAGTCCCGCCAACGTTGCCTGAACGTGGGCGCATTTGATCACTTCTCCACCACGCTCGAAGCCGCAGCCCTGGCGTCCCGCAAACGCGAGGACTTCGCGGCTGGGGAGGCCCCGAGCTTTGCTCCGGCGTACACGCGGCTCCTGGCGCTAGTAGATTGGAAGGCGCCCCGGCCAAAAGGCACGCTGCCTTTCACGTCCCAGGCGCAGCACGAGATGGGGCGCATACTCGAGCCGTGCCCAAATCGGAGTGTTCAAACCATCGCCTTGCCGCGTGGATGGTCCTGAATTGGGCCCAGTTGGGGTTGCGCCCGGGCAGAGTAGAGACGCATTGGAGTTACAGCACGCGCACTGGGCCTTGCACTTTGAATGCCGTGGGGCTCCTGTCGTTAGACGTGGAGACGCGAGGGTCGCCCCCCCTTGCCCCACCACCTCGTGTGTGTGCGGAGAAGTTTACCTTAAAGAGTCCTTACCTTACCTTACCTTACCTGATTGGCGTGCCTAACAAATCGGGGCGTGTCGGGCACGTGCACATGACGGGTCGACGTTTTGTGGTCGGATACGCATTTGGTTTTGGAGCGTGCGGGTGCCATCCGTCACGTACAGAGAGAGGCGTTTTAGCAAAAGTCGGTCGGTGGCGCAGAGGCGGAGATACAGCTAATATGTGGTACGATTCGCCGGTACGGGGTACGAGAGAGAGAGAATTCTTGATACGAAACCACGACGACACACACCAGTCGACTCGCATCGGTTGCCTCCATGAACGGCGGAGCTATTCTCGCGTCCACACCACACCTGGCTCCAACGTGGACACGCCCATAGCTGGGGACACTACTAGGTCACGCATGGCATCAGAAGTTTTATCTCTGGGCCCCGAAAGGCATCTCTAGCAGCGTCGTTACGCATGCGCCCTCCCCTCCTGGCGCATACGCCTCACGTCTCGACAGAGCATAAGCCCTTGGTGTGCCACGAGACGAGTTTTTCGCCATCGCCGCGAGCAGCAAGCCGCCCGCCGCAAACAGCCGGAGGCATCGCCGCAGCACTGTCTGCGCTGCGCTCCCGCACCCGTCGACGAAGCTCCCCCCGCGGAAGACCGCGCGTAGCGACGCCTTGACGATCGAGATGAGCGCGCTTGAAGCCCGCCCACCTACTGCCCCTGAGAGTTGGTTACCGAGTGGGATCAGCTCCCCCCCTTGGGATCGAAGCTTCCACGACCTCGCACCCAACACCACAGGCGGGATCAGAGAGAGACTCCGCACCGGACACCGCCCGGGCACAGACCCCCTACCCGTCGGACAATGCCTGGACCCCTCACAGAGCAGCCCACGCAGGTCACGCATCGGCAGATTTGACACCTGGTTCAGGCGTAGACAGCACACACTGGTCACAGTTGCATAGCCCTGCCGGGGGGGACGAGTTCGCAAGGTTAATATTAAAGAATACAAAGTGGTGACAACCACTGAGTTCTCAGTGGACGACGAGCGTCGACTGAACAGAAGAGCGTCCCCGCGACGCCTCGGTGCCTCCCACCGGGTGTGACCATCCGGATCAATCGAGCCCGCCTCCGGCGGGCCGTCCCCGCGATGGCCCACAGTCCTCCGTCGCCAGATCGAACCCCCCTCCTTTCGTGGCCATGTGACGTCGTACTGCATTAGGGTTTGGCACGAACAGAAATCCATTTGCGTTTGCACACTCCACGTCTATCTTCTGGATCATCACTTTTGTCGCTGCATTTTCCGACTCTCTCTCTCTCTCTCTCTCTCTCACGGGGTACGGCGCACAGCACAGCACCAGGGCAGGAGACGCAATGGCGACCCGGCTTCATCGGCGGGCGTCTGGGAGTGTGTCGTCATCTGACCGGTAGTCTTTCAGTGTGGTGGGGTGGGTTTCGTCACCGTTCATCGTCGACCCATTTGGGCAACCATACCATACCCCGCAAAAGACTCCGACGCCGTGTGTGTTATCGTGTGCATCGAGGCGCGTCCAAGATTCACGCGGATAGGGAGCACCCATCGCCGACGGCTGTGCTGTCATGGAAGCCACAAAGTCGCAAATACACGTTGACCGCGAGCTGGTGGGAGGCCCGCTTGTGTGCTGTCCTGGTAGTGTGCCAAAGGCGCACACGTATTGCTGCGGGCCGTGCGGGCTCGGCTCCTATGACGCCATCATAGCGGAGCACTGGGCGCGCGAGCCCAGCAAGTGGAGCCGCGAGTTCGACGGGCGGCTCGAGAGGTGGGATGTCGAAGCCAAGCCTCCTCTCGAGCTGAGCATGCCTCAGCTCGGCTGGCTCGACTCTCCGTGGAACCCGCTCTTTTGCCTCTCCGTCATGTACCCGCGCTCGCTGAGCTGCTGCGCGCCGATCGGCTGCTGCCTGTGCTGCCCGGGGATGCACACCGTCGACGTCGCCTCTCCCGAAGCCTTTGTGCCGGTGATGCTTGGAGTGGCGGAGGAGCACAACCTGTGCCCAGAGGAGCTGCGGGGGCTGCTTTGGATGGAGTTCAACATCGCTCCAGAGACTCTGATTACCCTCGACGATGTCGAGTGGAGACGCAACCCCAACGTCGAATGGGATGGGTTGCTCGGGTTCAAGGGCAACGGCAACCGCACCACCGACGCCAGCTGCGCCGGGACCTGCCTGACGCTCTTCTCGACGCGCGACGGCGGCGTCATGCGGTTTTCAACCTCCCCCTCCGGAAGGTGGATCGCCATCCCGCTCGGCGCGAGCTTCCTCTACGTCCCGCAGCCTGGCGACAAGTTCACCTACCAAGGGAAAGAGGTCTGCTCACCCTCACTGCACCTTCCGTGGGAGAGTACCGTATAGACGGCTTGAACCTTGCCCGGTGTGTACCTCATCCCTCAACTCGCCAACCGCGCACACGGCCACGCCTCACACGCCCATCCGTTCCGTTCATCAATAACTGTTTCATTTCCTCAGGTCGAGCTCGAGCCTGGGGACTTGATCCGAGTCTCCTACCCGAAGTGGGAGAAGACGACCGAGCTGACCCAGGCGCCGAAACACAATGCCTGCAGCCAACGCTGCCCCGCGCTTCTCTCCCACCCGTCAACCGTTGGTCGCAGGCGGTGCAGTCGTATGCGTATGTCGTGCGCAAGCTCGCCGCGCGCGCCCCCGACGGCTCAGCTGCGTACACCAAGCACTACGACCGCTTCCGAGAGTGGAGCGAGGGGCCGTGGCCGCACCCGCCCCTCTGCGGCTTCTTCCTCTGCCACCTCAGCGGGGAGCAGCGGCGAGAAGACATCACTCGCGCACTCAACCGCTACCAGGTGCTGATGTTTCCGCCCGCGCCCCGCGCTGGAGCGACCATGCACCGATAAGCTGCACGTCGGGCGCCTCCTCCTCGGGCGCCCCGATGGAGCCCTAGAGAGAAGATGAGATCATGTCAGCCGAATGCCTCGTAATAAGAGACAAACGGCCTAGAGAGAGCATGTCGGCCGAGAGTCTTGTGACAGGAGACAAAAGGCCTGGAGAGATAGACGGCCTGTACGACAAACGGCCTGTACTAGCGAAATCATAATGGTCCCAAAAAGAATTCCAAAAAAAGAAAAACACCCGAACTCCTATGGAGAACGCGCCGAACCCGAAGTCGTGCCAGAACACCAGGGGGCAAGTGTGTGCAGCACCTTCGACCCCGAAATGAAGGTCACCACACCAAACCGGGCGCTAGGAGAGGTGAACTGAAGGCTGAGACAACGGAGGCCGAGCCTGAGTGGGCGCCCACGCGCCCCCACACAAGCAAGCCTCTCTGTCCTTCGGCCCACTCCAGCGATCGTCCGTGGGTGACCGCGAATAACACGATGATCCAATCAATGCCCTCACCACCCGACCCCCCTCCAGGGACAGCAGTGCGCATCTCATCCCGGAGAGGGAAGGAGGGGGGGGGGGGGGGAGGGGTACGGGGGGAGCGGCATGGAGGGGGAGAGGAAGAGCAAGGGCGAGAGAGGGCAAGGGACCGGACGCTGGCATACCAGGGGGGCAGGGTGGTGGGCGGCGACCGCCGCATACCGTCCTACAGCGGGGACTACCGCTACGCCAGGGAAGACAAGGGCGTTGAAGTGCAGCTGCTGCTGTTCGAATCGTTCGGCGGGTTCGGAAAGAGATGGAAAGGGGGTCCGTGAGATCCTCCGGAAGGCGGCGGACGTGCTACAGAACAAGCTGACGCGGGCCCAGTACCTCGATGAGGTGACTTGGACCACTAAGAATTGGCTGGGGCTGCAGAAGCGGCGTATCTCAGTCGTTCTTCACACGGCAATCGCAGAGCAGGTTGTGAATGAGCTTGCCTGTGGCGGGGGCGGGCGGGTGCACGGAGCTAAGTGCCTCGCCGCCCTCGCAGGAGTCGCTTAGGCGGCTCCCGTGGTGTACCTGTGTTAGTGCAGTGCCGGTGCGCGCCTGACTCCTTATCAGCTGGTCGGCCGCCATGCTGGCCTCCGGGCCTGCCGCGGCGGCGCGGCCGGCCGAGGCCGGGCTCGGCCCGGCCCGCGACGGCTGGCCGCCGACGAGCGCGCTCGCGCTGCTCGTCAAAATGGCGGCGGTGGCGATTGCGGCGACGGTCGTTCAGCCGTTCAGCGCTCAGGCGTCTGTCGTCAGTCGTCTGTCGTCTGTTGTCGCATTTCGCACACGCGCGCGCTGCGCGACCCGCGTCGCTCCGCGAGGGCATGTGCCTTCCGCGATTCGATCCCGCAGCCAAAAGCTGCTGGCTCGAGCCGCGGCCGACTCTGCCATCGCGGCTGCAGCTGTCGAGCTCTCCAGAAGACTGGTGCCTGATATGCTGCCTCCCTGCGGATGCAGCCAGCGAGCCTGGCGGTCCGCTGTACTTCAAGGAAGCGCTGACACGATCCCCCCCCGCAATCTTCTCCCCCTACAACTCGGAACGCGAATCTGACAGGACCATCGGGTTCTTCAGCCACCAAAGCGAGATCACCCGAGAGAGCAGCTGAGTCTGCCTCTGGCCTCGCCTCCCTCTCTCTCCTTCAGGCAGTCGTGGCATCCTATGGGTTGTCCAGAGTATCGACCTCTGGCGAGTCAGCCAGCCCCACTTTGAGGGCGCCATGAAGTACAGCGATCGCCATCTCGCTGGCCTCTTCGCAAGGCCTCCCGACCGCGTCAAACTCATCGACGCGGGCTCTCTCGGCTACTGGACCGGCCCCAGCTTCGGCTGAGGGCGGACAAGCTGCCGAGCCCAAATCACTGTGAGGTCGTGATTTCTTGTTGGTTTTCAAAAATCTCTCTCTCATGCCAGATAGATAGCCTCCCCTATTAGCCCGATTCGCCTTGAAGCTTGATGTCCGCGGCCTTAGCCTCTTCCTCCATAAAAACACTCCACCAGCCTTGTGTTTAGTGGGGTGGTGGGGTGGGGTGGGTGGGGTGGGGTGTCCACGTCAAATCGCGAACGACGTTGTTTTCTTGTTCGGAAAATTCTTCTTCGGGGGGGGTATATGTGTGGTTTATATCGTGTTGGTGCCGCCCCCGCGATGTTGGTGTGGTGAGTGGCTCGAGTCTTGACAGAGCAATGTTGACACGACCGATCTGTGCTCGCGGTACGGCTGCTGCCGCTGCCGCGGCTAGGTACTCGCGTGCGGGCTGCCACGCTGCCGCACCGCTCTTATATGCGCGGGCGACGAGTCAGCGCAGCCGTGCCCTCTCCATGAGGGCTGTCGTCCATTCGCCGGTGGAGACTGATCCTGCGGCCGTGCACCCTCCATTCGCGAACTACGCTCACGCCACGTCGGTGCCGCCGGCCTCTGTTTTTCTCTGCACGTCTGGGCAGCTCGGCATCGCGCCCGACGGCTCCGTACCGGCGAGCGCCGAGGCGCAGGCGGCAATTGCCTTTCAGAACATCGGCGCCATCCTCGCCGCCTCGGGCGCAGGCCTGCAGCACGTCGTGCGGCTGAATGCGTATGTGAGCGGGAGGGAGCACCTGCCAGGCTACATGCGGGTGCGGCCAGTCCTCGCAGAGGGGCCGTCCCTAGAGAGATGTAGCATCTCGTCCACAAGCCGCTGCAAAGCACCCGCAGGCGCGCGACGAGGCGCTGCGCGGGCTTCCGAAGACCGCCTCCACGCTGATGGTCGTCTCTGGCTTTGCCCGCCCCGAGTTTGTCGTCGAGATCGAGGCTCTCGCAGCCGTCTCCTCCTCCGCCGCCGCTTCCGCTGTCGCCTCTGCCGCTTCCTCCGCCGCCTCCGCCGCCTCCTCCGCCGCCTCCGCCGCTTCCGCCGCCTCCAGCGACGGCGGCAGAGGCGGCAGCGGCGATAGCGCTAGCAGCCGCCACGTCCGTAGCAGCCGCCGCAGCATCTCCGCCACCCCAGCCGCCGCCTCCGCCGTCCGTTCCGCGGCGCACGGACGGCGCAGCCTGCACACCCGGCCCGCCCCTTGCCGCGCCCAGTCGCGAGCCCTGCACGGTGAGCGCGCGTCGGCGGCGGCGGTGGCGGCGTACGTCGAAGACCTGCGCGGCTCGTGGCGCCTAGAAGCGGAAGATCTCCCCATATCTCCCCATATCTCCCCTTATCTCGCGCCTAGCAGCGGAAGATCGATTCCTGCATCCCAACCAGCGCTCGAGAGGACACGTCTTCCGCTGTATTCGACCGTATTCCGCTGGATTCACTGTACTCGGCCTGCCTGCGTATTCACGCGGCGCTCTGAATACTCTGGCACAACACCGCCTTCCCGCCCTGAAGTTGGCGTACTCACAACGAGGAGAAGTCAATACACCAGAGGACGAGTCCTTGGAGAGTGTCTACCCAGTAAACATCCAACGCTGTTTCTCCAGACTCCATGCGCACGTGTGCTAGGCTCGGGCGTCAAGGTGCTGGCGGGTGGCGACGGGCCAAACGAGGCGCGCGAGATTGCCCGCCGCTCGCGCGACTTCTTCTGGTACGCTCCGCTGCTCAAGCGGCACTCTCACCGGCCGCTGCTCACTACTGACTGCTGATGAATGAAAGGTACTCTCCCCTCCTCAAGCCGCAGCTAACCGGCCGCGTCGCCGACGCGCTCGTGCTCGCGACGAGCGAGGCTGACGTCGTCGCGTCGCTCGCCGCGGCAGTCAGGCACCGCGTCTTCGTCACGACGCGCGGCGCGGGCACCGGCAACTACGGGCAGGCCGCCCCGCCGCCCTCCTCCTCCGCCGTAGACCCGCACACACCCCGCGACACTCGCATCCGCCCGCACCCACCGCGCCCACCGCGCCTCACAGAGTGTTTACGTGGCGCCCGCCGCCACTCACTACCGGCCCAGGGCAGCCCTGCGGCTATGTTTTCTTTTTTTCAGGCCGTGCTCAGCGCGTTTCTTTTTTTCAGGCCGTCCCGCTGCGTGGCGGCGTCGTGCTGGACATGTCCGGTCTCGACAAGATCGAGAGCATCGACGCCGAGGCGCTCGCCTCTCTCTCTCTCTCTCCCTGTCTTCTCCCTCCCCCCTCTCCCTGCCTTCTCTCCCTCCCTCCCTCCCTCCCTCTCCCT